AGTATTATATAATATATAGTCTACTGTACAAATAATTCACATATTGTTTAAACTAGAATAGTCTAGTTTATATATATAAATATATATATATATAGCCTATATATTTTAATACAAAATAGCTTTAGATTTAATGATTTAGTAAGCTTTATAATAATGTTTAATAATTTTAAACTCTAATAGAAAACTAATTATAACTGAAAATGTTATATGATATTACAGTATATATCAAAACTATAGGCCCTATAAATAGATATACTGTAAAATGGAATGACTGATTTTCCGGAGTGTCTTTGATCCTGAACGTAATTTCCTCTCGTTGCAACTACAGATTTGAAGATTGAATTTTTAACACATAAAAGTTGTAAACAGCATGGTGTAACAGAAATAATATGAAGCAAATTTACATATGATTAAAAACATCTTACTCACATGTAATTTTATTCTGGGAACTGTAAACTATTAATATGTTAATATGATTTTACAGTATGCAATTTGAACTAATGTTAAATATTGATTTCTTTTTAAATATTAAAATAATTTAATATTTATCATGGAAATCGTAAAAAAATATTTAAAAAGCGTAAATTTTAATTAAGGAATTAATACAGATTACTTAATTCATTATCCTAATTTAAAAAAAAAACACACACACACATTTTTAATATCTTTAACAGCAAAAACTATTAAAACAGATTAAAAAAAACCCCATCAACGTTAGCTATTTTAATTAAAATATCTTTAGCTATACTTAGTTTAAATATAAAAAGAAAATTTAAATGAAAGCCAGTAGATATTTAATTTTTTTACATGGATAAATAATAAAATATAATGATACGTTGCAGATGATAACCATATCTTTAAAACAAGATTTTTTTTTTATTTTATACATTAATTAAACCATAAATTTTCATTTTATAAATTTAATTATAAACAATTTTTTAATCTCTGTAGAATTAAATTAAATTTAAAAAAATATATATATATTTATTTTTATTTTGTATGCATTATTAATTAAAAGGACAACATTTTACTTATACTATAGTGAGTCAATGAACATTCAATACGTATTTTTATAACATTGATTAAACGATAGAATTTAAGTAATTTAATTTTATAAAAGCGTTTTTACTGATTGATTTATAACTCCCCTGCAGCTTTTGTAATCGAGATTTCATCTTGAAATCATTTACTAATGTTTTAACGCTTCGAGTGCTATTGTAAGTGAAGTGCCTTTCTTACAGAATAACTGTACTCGAAATTGTTGATAAGTAACTATCCATAACGTATTATATTCTGTACTTATGTAATGAAAACAACTCTTAAAAGTGTGATATTTTTGTAGAGAATTTTGAAGTGGCATCTTAATAACAGCAATTTTTCTAGAGAAAAGTAATAACAGGTTTCTCAACGTGTCTACTTATCTCAATGGATTATTTTTAGAATGAAACAATTTTATTAGAACAGTTATAGAAATGTATATAAAAGGCATCGATTTGAGTTTCCCCCTTTTCTATTTTTAATTTTATTTTATGAACAAAATGAAGATGAATGATAACTTCATTCCATTGTTTCTCGTTGATGAACAATAGTCGTAGCTAAAATCTTATCGGTCAATTGTGTCATACGGTATCAGAAATAGTCGAAAAGAATAGAAAATGTTAAATTTGTGGACTCATTTTACACTTCAACATTTGTATTAATTGAATTAAATTGGAGCCAAAGACATTTTAAGTGTACAAAAGTCTACATTTAAGGGACAACGTTCGAAAAATATCTAAACACATCTACTAACCATCCGTAACATTACTATTGCGTGCTAACATAGAAAATAATTTTTATACATGTTTCTTGATAAATATAATTAGACCTAAGTTTAAAAACTGAATATTACTTATTTTCACATTTTTTATACTGCCATACGTCAATTGTAATGTTTATTTTCACCATTATCATTACAGCATTGGCTCGATCCAACAAAACCTATCAGGAAACAAGTTAAAGGTAAAAAAGAAACTCTATTTTTTTTTTTTTTTTAATTATTATTCTTTTATAAGCTTAATTGATAATAATAAAGATTACAAACTTACGTAAATTTAATCGATTATTATTGTTAAAAGTTCACTTTTATGTTAGAAGTTATGTAAGACTGATATTGTCACACACGTACAATGGATAATCAATGCTCTCCAGCTGTGTTGATATATTATATAAAGCTACAAGAGCTACTACTTTCATTCCTTGCGAAATGACTGTACAGGAATACTGTCTATACCAAACTGGAACCATGTAGAGCTAGCTAATCATAAAAGAACAGCATGAATTCTATCGTTCTTTACATTATAAAAACCAATTCTTATCTTTGTGTAGGACGTTATAGAACGTCCTACACAAAGATAAGAATTGGTTTTTAAAGATAACAAAAGTAGAATTTGGGTTTCGTATGAAAAAATAACCAGAAAACTCCTCCACGTGTCGTTATTTTACATTATTAATATATTTTAGTATTGATAATATTACACTGTTCGATTTACTGATTTTTTTTTTTTTTTTNAGAAAGTGATTATAAAAATTTATTTCCAAAATAATAAGGGTATAAATGAAATCCATTCTGTAATAAAGAATATTTCACAGATTCTTTCTCAAACTGTATCAAAATCATTGCCCTTTAAGTTCACAATGTTTAGCTTTAATTTACTTATTGTTTTAATAACTACAGAGACAAAAAATATCACCATAAATTTTCATAGAATTTTAAAAATTGAGTTGCCTTTTATGATGGTGCACGTTTGATTTTTGCATGCAAATTATTGTTCTAAAATTAAACTTAGTGTGTATAAATGATATAAATAATCATATATCAGATCTGAATGATGCAAACTGACAAAAGCTAAATTTTAATTAATAAAAAAATACCAGAATAATTTTCTGTCAATACTACACTTGGGGAATAAATAAAACTTTTCACTATAGTACGTTTAAACGAATTGATTGATTAATTAAAGTTTTTGTTATATTTGAAACTATTTTTTTTAAATATTATTTTGCAGGGGCCAAACACCAGCACAAGCTGAATTAAACTATCTTCAAAAAGCCAAATGGTTAGAGATGTATGGAGTGGATATGCACACAGTTTTGGTGAGTATCAAATATCCTGTTTTAGTTATTGAAATAGACAAACTGTTAGTTTGTTCCACTTCATTAGTAGTGAGGGAAGCTTCACAGGAGGTTTGAGATTTCAATAATTACTAACACGTGTATGGTTCAAGGATGAGTTTACCAATTGATTGATGTGTATTTAATAGACGTGTAGATTACACGAAATAATTGACATGTATAATGAGAACACTATCTTTAGTTAAGTACAAAAATGGTAAACATGTGTTAACCAAGAATAATGGAGCGTAAATTAACAATAAAAACAGTTTTAAACAAAGTCGTATCGATTGGAGATAAGCCGATAACTATTTTCTTTAAAAGCAGTTTATAATAACGAACAAAGCCTTAACTGTTTAATATTAAATGGCTTTCTTACTCATGCATATAAACATATCAATTCTATTTTTCTTATAAGAAACAATGTAGATAAATTTAATATTTAAAATAGTATAATTTTAAAAACTTTTAAATATAAAAAGCAGAATTCCATTTATCAGAGATCAGCTTAGTTAAAAATGAATATAATGGCTCGGAGCCAAAATGATGGCAGATTGTCACCAATCAAGAGTGGCATGCTAGATTATGATTGACATATGTCAAGTGTTTGTGGTATTTCTCTCACATTTTTTTTCCCCCTGATTATTTAATAAACAGTTCTAGAAATTTTATTTGTTTAACTTTTTGCTTACATTCTATACATTTCACATTGCTTATAAGCTGACTTGTGTCCTATTTCTTGCAATAGCTTGGCATTAAGCCTTACATTGTTTTCACTTCACTTTTCATGTCTTAAATGCTGTAAACTGCATAAAGACAAATGCTTTTTATAATGGTCACCTCATTTATAATTTTATATTATAAATGAAATTTTCTCATCAAGCATGACGGAATACTTTTTATGAGAAAGTAGAGATTGAAGAATTGAGAAGAGTAAATTTCAATAAATTCAAGAGTTGTTTTCAGTTCAATATTTCTACAAATTAAGTAGTTTGTTCTATCTATTGTATCATAAAGAGCAACAAAAAATTTTACCTGAAGTGGACCAAAAAAGGTAGGAGTTATAGAGAATTCACCTACACACACAAACAGATTTAGTCCTTTAAATTATTAAAATAATATAAAAGTCTTTCTTTATACACTACATTCTGAGTAAACACTCTATTGTCTTTAAAAATTTCCTTTGATAAAACAAAGATAATTGTATGTACTGTATGTTAGCAATAATGCTTTCTAAATAACAGGCTCGTTAGACCATTACTTCTGATTGAACAATAGAATGTCACACGGTCACTATGGAATAATTTTTTAAAAATTTGTTATAGAAGTGACATGATAAGGCTATCATTTTTCAAAGTTTACATTTAATGAAGTAGATTTAAAATATGCCATTTGCCAAAATATTTAAAAATGCAACTTAAGGGAAATTTCCTCATCACGCATGAACATCATGTGGTCACTGACAACACTGCAACGTAAATCCAATCACCAATTTCAAATCGATAAAACATTTATTCTATAGCTAATATTTCCGCAAAATAAGTAGCCTATAATTCCATCAGAACGTAAAATGAATATAATCAAAATTTCATCTTAATTAAACAGAGATTGCAAGAGTTATAAGGAATTCACATATAAATGACAGCTTTTATATTAGTAATAAAATTTANCCCCCCTATAACACTGTTGATAATTCCGTTTTATATGAATTCCATGTTGTACGAGTCACTTAGATTTTACAAATACGTGAGCCGTTCACAGCCCAGCACATGTATTTGTAAAATCTAAGTGACTCGTACAACATGGAATTCATATAAAACGGAATTATCGACAGTGTTATAGGGAGGGTCGACTGTACAATCTAATCATATTTTTGAATCATCGTATATGATTATTTTATATTTTCCATAGAGTCTGAATTACTAGCGAGTAAATTAATGAGTCTAGATTCTTGTCAAGCTTCTTCTAAACAATTACAAAAGATTTCAGGAAGTGGAACTAGTTCTAAAGATATAAATGCTATTCAGAATAATCAAATGAAGATGAACTGTGTAGGAAATAGATTGATACCACCGGAACAAATGAAGTGCAATATTTTAAAAGCTAAAATTGAAGAAGAATTGAAAAAAAATACAGTCAATTGTAAGTTTAAATTTTGGTTGGAATATTTTACGTAAAATTATTTTATTACCGTTTCAAAATTAAAATTAAACAAAACTGTTTACATTAAAGGTGACAAAGTTCTTCCATTAGTTTCTTCCGAAAATCCTCCAAAACAAATAATTGATGAAATAAATATGGGATCTAAAAAAATGAAATTATGCTGTATTCAAAGCAGGTATGATCACAATATGATATTTTACCCGTCCATATACTGTATTTATTATTAAATTAATATGGATAATTTAATTTAGGGATTCATTCATTTCTGATGTGCCAAATAAATCTTTATTGACTTCAGACAGAGATGCTGTAACATGGTAGGTTTTGATGAGTTTATCATAAACATAAATAAAATTATTTTCAGTATAAATCATAAATTTTTTTCTCAACTTTTTCCAGTGATACTTGCATAAAAGCAAGAGGATTCACAAATGATACTCAGTCTCTTTCATCTATGTCTGACAATCAATTTTATTCTGTGGTAAGATATCTATAAATATCAGAAAGTGATTATAAAAATTTATTTCCAAAATAATAAGGGTATAAATGAAATCCATTCTGTAATAAAGAATATTTCACAGATTCTTTCTCAAACTGTATCAAAATCATTGCCCTTTAAGTTCACAATGTTTAGCTTTAATTTACTTATTGTTTTAATAACTACAGAGACAAAAAATATCACCATAAATTTTCATAGAATTTTAAAAATTGAGTTGCCTTTTATGATGGTGCACGTTTGATTTTTGCATGCAAATTATTGTTCTAAAATTAAACTTAGTGTGTATAAATGATATAAATAATCATATATCAGATCTGAATGATGCAAACTGACAAAAGCTAAATTTTAATTAATAAAAAAATACCAGAATAATTTTCTGTCAATACTACACTTGGGGAATAAATAAAACTTTTCACTATGAATTTTCAAATGATTTTAATTGATCATTTTTTTAATCATTAGGGTAATAAGATTAACCAATCCAACCAATATATTATCTGTTAATGATAGTAAAAGTTTATATTTATATGTTCCAAATCATTATCTTCCTTATATATTCAAATTTGTTTACTATTACATTAATTAAATTTGCACAATTTATTTATGTTTGCTTTAAAATATATGTAAAAATGCTAATAACAAATGTATTGTACAAAGTATTCAATAATATGGCATTTTTTTCATTATAATTTCAAAAAACTGTCATCTTTGACATTTAAAGTTTTTAACAAAATATACACTTTAATAATTATTCAGCATTAAGAAATATTCAAAGACTAATATAAAACTCAACAACTTACTCCATTTTTCTCATTAATATTTATAATCCAAGCACTTTAGAACATTGCTAATCTTTATAGGTGAAAATTCTGTCAAAATTAAAAATGTTACACTTTCTAAAAAAATATTTCAAAAGTTCTTTAATTCTGAGATTAATTCACAACCACAAGATGAGAAAACAAAAATCAAAAGCACTTAGATTTTAATGTTTAAATTCACTCCAATAAAGCATACTTAATCAATTTAATAAAATATACGTTACTGTATTTTACATATTTTTTAGTATGTATTAATTACCATTCAATCTGAATTCATATTTAATTGCATATATTAGATAAGTACAATACATCATTTTACAATTGAATGAACCTATGGTTATACAGAAGTCAGCCATGGGAATTTAACCCTATCCATAAAAATGTCAAAACAATAAAGCATAAGAATCTCCTTTAATTTCCATGCTGGGAAGTAAAAGTCATATATTTAAATACAAGTAATTTAACTATTCAGTAACTTATTTAATCTCTCTTTCATATGTTAATTTCTAAATATTTGTCTTTTGCAATTCTCTGTAAAGTTTTAACTAAATAAATTATGTTAATTGATACTGAATGTGTATTTTATACAGGAAACGTCATTTGCGGGTGTGAATCCAGTGACTCGTGCTGTTTCTTCAGTTAGTTCCCAAACAATTTCAGTGCAAGCCCTGAACAGACCAACCTGCAGTAGTATGAATTCCCAATTATCTCCCTGGCATGTTATAGATGAAGGAAAATCTCTGAGATCTACTAATTTGAACTGTAGAACAATTATGACAACAGAACTTTGAGAATAATTTTGTTCCATCCGTAGAGAATTTGTACAAATTTTTATATAATAAGTTCTAACTATATTAGAACATTCCAAGTTATTTAAATTCAAATGCTGAGTTGTGATAAAACAGTTTATAATTGTTTTCAGTATAAAACTTCTGAACTTTTGAAATAAATTTTACAATTTTTATGAATAATTATGAAATTTTAAACATGTTTTTATTAAGGCATAACATTATATAATTTGACTTCATTTATTAAATAGAACACAGTATAAAAGTATTGTATTGTATATACGATATTACTTTAACTGATTAATATAGAAATAGTTTTGAATTTCTGATTGTGTGTGTGTGTGTAAATAAAATCTGAAATTCAAAGTAAACTATTGCATTCAAAGCAATAAAAATAATTGCAACATTAAAAAAAAATTTATGCCAAACAGGAAAAATTGGCCTATTCCAAATTATAGAAGTAAAATTTCATTTCTTTTAATTGAGAGCAATAAATTAAATCCAAATTTTTTTTGTAAATCTCTCTACAGACATTGTACAATATAATTTGAGTTTTTATTTTTGTACAAAACATTTTTAAATTGGCTTCACTAATAATAATTTTTTAAAAATTCAAAAATTAACATTTTAAACAATAAATAGAGGGGAAAAAAATAACAAATCAAATTTAGATTATGTAATATGAACTAAACGTTTTTTAAATACAGTAATACCTTGACTTATGCAAACCCGGAGTTACGCGATTTTCAAATCTCATCGATTCGTCTTTTGTTTGAGTGCCACGCAACTCTTGATTACTCACTTCCCCCACAGCTTACATGTTCGGACGTGCCACACAGAATCGACTCATAGCTACAATTTATTTTGTGTTATTTATTTCAGTGTTTGTTATATCTACAGAGACTTGAGAGACTATGTGGTGATTTCTTGTAACCGTGAACAAATCAAAAGACGAGATAAGATTAACGAGAACATTTATTAGCTTACATACATCCGACTTGGATTTTACACAAATTGCGAAATTATACCAGACTTACGCGAATTCGACTTACGCGGTTATTGCTCGGTCCCACCTATCGCGTAAGTTCGGGGGTATTACTGTATTGAAATTTACACCACAATGAATGAATTTAAAAACAATTAATGAACGTTTTATTTGAAAACAGTTAAAAATTACATTTCAGTGAAAGGGAGCAAATATTACATAAGAAAATATCAATTTACAATTAATGTAAAAGATAGCACCATAAACAGTGGGTTATAAAATATAATTAAAATTAAATAAACATGTGAATATCATATCACAAAAATGATATCAGTGGATATAAAAAAGATAGTTCAATCTCTCATTAAATGACCTTAACATCTAACTTGTCTATAAATACAATTTCATTATACAATGTCCTGTTTATATATATACACAGTTTTACAATCTCTATTTGTACAAAAGCTACACAAATTTCTACTTTATTCTTGCAATTTATAAAACCTTCATAATTTAAATCACCTTCACATTGTGTTTGTATTATACATTGCTCTGTAAGAAAGGAAATAGGTTTTTAACAATTTTGGTTAACATAGCTTGTATAAATACAAAAAGTAATTATCGGATTCAAAATACTGATTATAATAATACAAATAATTGATATCATAGTGAAATAATAATGAAAATCATATCCTATGATAAAATAGCTAAGTGATAAAGTACAACAAAACAGATCATTGTGTGAATTAATCAGATCTCACAGAAATTGTCTTCTGCATACAGCTAAATAAACAAAAGAATTATAATAATCAAACAGAATACATACATAAGTAGGGTATTAAATTAATTACAGGTATTATATTCTAATGTAATTGGTTCATTAATTAATAAGCATCTTAAATAGTTTAATATGATTAAAATCACGAAAAATTTTACCCCTTATTAAATTACAGTTTTGTTCATAAATAAGAAAAACTACAGAAATATTAAGACATGACTTTTTAATTGCAACTTATACTGGTGGTATTATTTTAACTTATAAAAATACTACATGCACCCAAATTTAAAAGATGAAATGACTAGTATTGTATAATTATTATAAACAAAATTTTCTTAAACATACTGTATACAAATGAAACAAAATACATTGTCACATTAAGAATAAAATTTCCATTCAAAAATCAGATAGGATGTAACAAATATTAAAAATTATTTTCTTACATAATTATTACTTACATTATACAATAAATTTTAATTAATTTTATATACAAATATAACATCCAAATGATTTTTAACACAAAAAAGAAACCTTTATTTTAGTATAATCTGGAAAGATATATGTATATGATATCATATTATACATAAATCAATTTTTTCCCCATAAAATATGAAAAATACCCGTATATTTTTCTGTAATAATTAACCTGATAGAGAAATTATACATATTAAGATTATATTCAATTGTCTTGCTATGAACAGCGTAAAATCAAAAAATATAATAAAACTTAATCTCAAAGGTGAAAATCTCAAATGATAAAATCAGAAAGTTACATTTACCAGTTTAAAGTTTCCTAGATTATTATTTTACTAAATTCAAACAGTAATCTTAAATGCTACTGAATGTTAACTATGCTTACATTAATTAGCTATAGTCTATAAAAACTTCAAATCTATCAACCAATTTTGCAAATAAATTCCTCATTGTTATGATGAAATGTGCACATTATTTATATCTTTTTAACAGAACTGCTTCTGTTGAAATAGAATTATTCTGAAATATAGAAATGGTCATAATCTCCACAACATTAATTATTCTACAGATTGCAGATATAACCAACTTAGCAATCCACATTAAAACTGCCCTAATTCTAAGTTCACATAGATGCATTTAAAATTCTAATTTTTTTCTTATAAATTCTAGTATGACAGTTTCATTAGTTTACTATTCAACAATATTTTTATTCTTAAGTCATTCTAAATATTATCTTTTACTGAGCTGCACAAAATTACTCAGTTAATTTAACTAGTTTTAAAAATTAGAAAGTTATGCAACTTTCTAATTTTTTAATTTTTTCAAAAGCCTAAACATCAAACAAAAGGTTTAATTTAAATTCTAAAACAAAACCAAACTGTTTAAAATGTTTCAAGTTAAAATAAATATTCTATAGGAATTAAAATGAATCCACAATAATTTATAAAGACAAACTTTAAAACAGAAGTTTTACAAAGTTCCATTACTATGTTGGCAATTCATATTTTTATTATATGTTTATAACAAAATAAACAGTTTAAAATATTTTAGCATATTAGAATTTAAAATGGCTGTGTTTATCTTTAATCTGTTATGTTGTTTTATATAATATATATATATATATATATTTTTATAATCATGGAATAGTTAAAATTTTAAGCTTCTGAAAAACTGAAAACAAGATTGTTCTTGAATATGGATTCATTTTATTGTGAAAATGTTTGGCATTTAATTTATACTGAAAAAGCATATGTTTGATAGAAAAAAATAAAATTTCATTACACAATATCAAATAGTTTCAAAATAATAATTTTCTGTTAATAAAATAATATTTTATTTATTTATATAAATAAATATCTTAAAGATTAAAATACTCTCTTAATAAGTAATCTCTATCAGTTTATTTTAAATAGAGAGATTCATATTTTTTGAATAAAATAATTTATGGAAAGCAATATAAAAATGTAATACATTATGAAAGAAGCACTACATAACTTGATTTGTGTGGGATCATTGTTTGGGAATGACAATGTACACCAAAATTAAAACTAGTTACAGATATTAAAGTTTGAAACTATAACATATAATATAGCTGATTATAAATCAAATTATTATTATTATTATTATTATTATGAAATGATTTAACTGTGGCATTGTTAAATGGCAGTTTCAAAATTTCAGTGTTTAAATACATACTTGTAATAAACAATACAAATGATATGCACTAAATAAAAATTAGAATAAATTTTAACAAATTTCAATTAAATCTCTAGGACATTATTGTATATCCATTTATTTGTATATATATACAAAATTAACTACAGTAGAGCATCGATTATCTGAAACAATTTGGGACTGGGGTTGTTCGGATAACTGATCATTTACAAAAAAAAATATATTAAACAAAACTGTACTGTATATAATTTGTATCATGTCTTACAAATACATATTTTACATAATGTAATACATTAAACTAGGCCTACAGTTCAGTTTGGCAGGGAGGGGAAGAGTACTGCAATGCCACAGCCCTAGGAGAAATTTGAATTTGCTGACTGGAACACTTTCGGTTGATTGGTATTCAGATAATCGATGCTCTACTGTAAAACTTAAATTGTTAGAACAAATTATTAATGACAAAATTCAATTGTTTTAATAGACTAGATTTATATACAAATATAAATTTTTCAGTTACATTATTACCTATCAAAAATCAAAAGGTAATATATAAAAAAATTAATATCAGAAGTCCTAAGTTGCTATTAAAATGTTATATTTTGTTTGAGAATAATACTGGGTGTTCTACTCAAAAGTACCCAATTTTAATTTGCCATAAAAATGAATGGTTAAGACATAAAAGCAACAAATGGTATCTGGTGAGAAAACTCAGTTTTATAAAGATTTTTTTTTTGTACTGAAAGATGGTGCACAGGTTGAATTGTGAGCATAAAATTATTGTCCAGTCATGGAGAAAGTGCATGTTGTGGGTCTGGTATGCCCAATAGTCTGGCTGCCAAGATCTCCTGATCTGACCCATTAAATTTCTTTACGTGGGGTTAGATGAAAGATAGTTTCTGAAATGTCAATCAGAGAATTCCAGGATCTTTGGGAGTGCATCATAGGAGCCATTGCCACAGACATGACACACTGCAGTATACTTAGCAGAAAATTGTCTACCACTTTGATGTTGTCACTGTGTGCTCCTGCAGTCACTGTGACTGCTGGAGCACACAGTGAGATGTGGTTATTTCTTCAATGAAATTTGATGAGTTTTTCTCTGATATAAACTCTTTGGTAAAGTTTTATCTTTAACTGTTAATTTTTATAGCCATATCAAATTGGGTACTTTTGAGTGGAACACCCTGTATTACAGTACAAATGTCAATAACCATATATAATGTTTTGTGTATATACATGTAAAATCATTGTCATTCAATACTATATATATATATACACATACACACACACGGCATATTGTCACAATTGACTTATAGAATGTATATGTTTCAAAGATTTGGCAAAATGCATATGTTCTGTTAATGCATGGGGTTTGGACAAAGTTGTCTTATGTTCCACAGTTTAAGTAATATTTATGTCTACACAGTAGCAGTTTCTTAGCTGTATTTTTACAGAGTCCTGAATGACATACATATGCAAGTAATGTTTAACTTAAAAAATACAAGTTAAAGTAAAAAGATAAAAATAAAAATTTGACAAAGAAAAATAAAAGGAAAGTGTGATGTTATCAAAGAATACAGAATACTGAAAAACATTAAAAACAGAAAATCAATTTAATTTTCAAAAATAGATAATTAAAATTTTTCTTAACATATGAGGAGAATTTTGGATTTTCCTGATATGTTAAGAAAAATTTTAATTATCTATTTTAATATAGTTCAATCAAAAATATTTAATTGTATTATTTCACAAATGTTTAACCTGCTAAAAAGTATTTAAACAATAAAATAGTTTTGAAAAATTAAATTATTTTTTATAGTATGAATTTTTAAAATGATGAAAACTTCAGTTTATATATTTTGCATTTTTAAATAATAAGTACTTAACATTAATAATAATGTATCATCCTCTTCATGATTTATTAATTAAATGCTGAAATAATTTTTTTATGTATATGCAATGCTTTAAATTTGCATATGTACTGATTGAAATAAAATGTAAAACTAAACAATAATTATTAATACACTACAAAAGATCATGTGAATCACTAAAATATTATCTGGTAGTTTTTTAAATTCATAGATTATTCTGATTATAGAAAATTTGGATAATTGTAAAATTAAAATAAAGTTAGCATTTATCAAAATCATTATAATTAAAATGACAAATAATTTAATCTCCGACATAGCAAAAAATGACTATTAATACAATTTTTATGATAAATACTCTAGTAATACACTATTATAAAATATTTAAATATAAAAAAATTGACTCTTTCGACAAAAAATAAATTATTCTTGATGTCTTTTATTTTCTCCTTCTTCTTCATCATCATTCTGCAAAAGAAATAAAAACTTCATTAAAATATAATGTAAAGTGATCACAAACACTTAAAATAAATTCTGTAAATATGAAGGATTAAAAAATATGAAAGGTATCAGAAATAAAAAACCAGAACCTGTCATTAAGTTTTGATATTCTAATATGAATGTAAAAAAGAATTGATAAAACAATTAAAATTTTGATTCAATAGAGATCTAATTATATTTTAAATTTTTATTGAATCAAATTTGAAAATTAAAGATCTAATCAATAATTTTAAAAACTTTTAAATATAAAAAGCAGAATTCCATTTATCAGAGATCAGCTTAGTTAAAAATGAATATAATGGCTCGGAGCCAAAATGATGGCAGATTGTCACCAATCAAGAGTGGCATGCTAGATTATGATTGACATATGTCAAGTGTTTGTGGTATTTCTCTCACATTTTTTTTCCCCCTGATTATTTAATAAACAGTTCTAGAAATTTTATTTGTTTAACTTTTTGCTTACATTCTATACATTTCACATTGCTTATAAGCTGACTTGTGTCCTATTTCTTGCAATAGCTTGGCATTAAGCCTTACATTGTTTTCACTTCACTTTTCATGTCTTAAATGCTGTAAACTGCATAAAGACAAATGCTTTTTATAATGGTCACCTCATTTATAATTTTATATTATAAATGAAATTTTCTCATCAAGCATGACGGAATACTTTTTATGAGAAAGTAGAGATTGAAGAATTGAGAAGAGTAAATTTCAATAAATTCAAGAGTTGTTTTCAGTTCAATATTTCTACAAATTAAGTAGTTTGTTCTATCTATTGTATCATAAAGAGCAACAAAAAATTTTACCTGAAGTGGACCAAAAAAGGTAGGAGTTATAGAGAATTCACCTACACACACAAACAGATTTAGTCCTTTAAATTATTAAAATAATATAAAAGTCTTTCTTTATACACTACATTCTGAGTAAACACTCTATTGTCTTTAAAAATTTCCTTTGATAAAACAAAGATAATTGTATGTACTGTATGTTAGCAATAATGCTTTCTAAATAACAGGCTCGTTAGANCAATAGAGATCTAATTATATTTTAAATTTTTATTGAATCAAATTTGAAAATTAAAGATCTAATCAATAATTTTAAAAACTTTTAAATATAAAAAGCAGAATTCCATTTATCAGAGATCAGCTTAGTTAAAAATGAATATAATGGCTCGGAGCCAAAATGATGGCAGATTGTCACCAATCAAGAGTGGCATGCTAGATTATGATTGACATATGTCAAGTGTTTGTGGTATTTCTCTCACATTTTTTTTCCCCCTGATTATTTAATAAACAGTTCTAGAAATTTTATTTGTTTAACTTTTTGCTTACATTCTATACATTTCACATTGCTTATAAGCTGACTTGTGTCCTATTTCTTGCAATAGCTTGGCATTAAGCCTTACATTGTTTTCACTTCACTTTTCATGTCTTAAATGCTGTAAACTGCATAAAGACAAATGCTTTTTATAATGGTCACCTCATTTATAATTTTATATTATAAATGAAATTTTCTCATCAAGCATGACGGAATACTTTTTATGAGAAAGTAGAGATTGAAGAATTGAGAAGAGTAAATTTCAATAAATTCAAGAGTTGTTTTCAGTTCAATATTTCTACAAATTAAGTAGTTTGTTCTATCTATTGTATCATAAAGAGCAACAAAAAATTTTACCTGAAGTGGACCAAAAAAGGTAGGAGTTATAGAGAATTCACCTACACACACAAACAGATTTAGTCCTTTAAATTATTAAAATAATATAAAAGTCTTTCTTTATACACTACATTCTGAGTAAACACTCTATTGTCTTTAAAAATTTCCTTTGATAAAACAAAGATAATTGTATGTACTGTATGTTAGCAATAATGCTTTCTAAATAACAGGCTCGTTAGACCATTACTTCTGATTGAACAATAGAATGTCACACGGTCACTATAGAATAATTTTTTAAAAATTTGTTATAGAAGTGACACGATAAGGCTATCATTTTTCAAAGTTTAAATTTAATGAAGTAGATTTAAAATATGCCATTTGCCAAAATATTTAAAAATGCAACTTAAGGGAAATTTCCTCATCACGCATGAACATCATGTGGTCACTGACAACACTGCAACGTAAATCCAATCACCAATTTCAAATCGATAAAACATTTATTCTATAGCTAATATTTCCGCAAAATAAGTAGCCTATAATTCCATCAGAACGTAAAATGAATATAATCAAAATTTCATCTTAATTAAACAGAGATTGCAAGAGTTATAAGGAATTCACATATAAATGACAGCTTTTATATTAGTAATAAAATTTAATTATTTAGTCAATTTAGTTAAACTTATAGATATTCTATTTAATTTGGATTGGTTGGATTTGGGGTTTTTGGATACAAGGGCCATGATTATTTTTTCAAAAATGGGAAATTTTCATTAGCCATTGACAAAAATTCAACCCAGGGTGACATGCAACAAAGAGGAATTGACATTGGATAGGTTAACTTTGCCGAAAATGCATCATGGACGACCTTGTGTCATGGTTGACAAAGTTTGAACAATCACACTCAAAACCAGCAATACCAAAGAAGATTGGAGAATAAGAATAAGATCCACTGTGAGTGTCAAAGTAATCCCATTTAGTAGTGAATCTCCAAGACATAGTCTTGTCCCAAAAATAATGTTTTGTTACTATACTCATCAGGGCCGTGCAGTAGATTTTCTAAGTATGATGCAAGTCTTCGAAATGCCGCCTCTTATATGTTTTTTTGCCGCCCCTTATATAAATTATTAGTCTTATATAGGCTATAATTGTTATTATTTGGTGTATCTTACCAGGGCCATGTGGTAGATTTTCTAAGTATGATTCAAGTCCTTGAAATTCTACCCCTTAAATGTTTTTTATGTCACCCCCTCACGGTGCCGCCTGATGAAGCCGCATCTCTGCATCATAGCACAGCACAGCCCTGATACTCATCATTCTTTATGATGTCTAAAGTATTTCAGATTTAATAACTATATTCCAATAAAAATGATTTAATGCATACTATTAAAACTGAGTTCTTATTCTTACCACTGCTAATTGGCGACCAATACTTCCAATTGTTACACCACCAGAAAAAACAATGCAAGGTAACCAGGATTTTACATATAGAAAATCTCTTTCAGTATATCTATTAAATTAAAAAAAATATATAAGTATTACATAAATTCATAATTTGCTGTGAAATTTATTTTTTAATAAAAATAATTACTTGCAGACTCCATGATGAACAAGTAAATGAGTTATAAAAGTAGCAATTACAGCTATTGTTACACCCATGCCAAAACCACTTCTAGTGCGATCAAACCACCACCAAAGTGCAATTGATAAAACTGCTAAAGATACACTTAATTGAAGATGGCTTGAAAAATTAATTTTCTGAATTTTCTGTTAAGAAATTGTATAATTCAGCTATATTTATGTAGTTTTATATTATTTATTTTTATTGTTTTTATTTAAGATCTATACATATCTTAACATTTTATTTCATATATTGTATTTCTTATATTTCAATTAAAAATTTTAATATTTTGTGAAAATTCTTTTTCCACTTTTGGTTTGCAAGAAATAGATCATATAAATTAAAACTTTCTGAACAAAGAGAAAAGGATACAGCACTAGCATGGTTAATACCCACAAAAAGTGCAACACATCGCATAATTGCAGACCATTCTTGAGTACATACTTTTCCTTCACCCAACTTTCGATCTAGCCATGGGTACATAAGCCCAACTACAGCTGTAATAATATAAAATTATTAAAAATATATATTAATTAATATATTTTATGAGTTAAAATCATTACTCTTGAAAACTGATTTAGAATAAATCAATTTTTCAAGAGTAATGATTTCAATATTTAAAATAAATCAGTTCTAAAAAAATATAATTTTATTCATCATATTAACTATGGAGTTCTGTACTTGTTGCAATACTGGACAAAATAGGAACACTGCAAAGCATTTTTGTCCAATATGGCACAAGTATAGGACTCTATAGTTAAATGGAATGAAGTGAGTCTCCTCAGAACTATGAGTTCACCTTCGTTAGCAGAGCCAAAAAAAATTAAAATTTATAAATGTAAATTAAAAGAGATTGCATATGTGCCAGGAATGCAGATGGACTACCTAATGCATATAAATTATGCATAAAAAAATTAATATATAAGAATTCTTAGTCTGCACTTGACCACATATTTTAATGCCTTTTATTTTATTATATTATTTTATGTTTTAAATACACACACAAAATACTTTGAACAATGCTAATTTATCTGATTTATACAGTATTTAAATATGATAGTTTGAACGTTCCTTCATTAAAATGTTCCATTTTGAAAAGACATTCAAATTCAGTTACACCTGAAGATGACATATTACATTAGGGTAAAAACATTTGTGTTTGTTTAATAAAATGTTTCTCAACAACAATAGGTGTTTGATAGTTCATTAAGTATAAAAAGCTGTTTGTTTACCGGTTTTTGCTTAATTTCAATGCTAATTTTTTTGCAGCTAATAAATTTTAAATATACCACAATATAAAATAAATTATTACCATGATTTTTATAATGTGCTTTTTATATAAGCACATTATAATAATCAAAGACATATGTCAATTACTCTGTAGCTTATGAACAACTAACAACTGTCACTAATTACAAAAGTTCATTATGTTACTAATATTATCATTGTTTGTGATCTAAATGTAATTAAATGTTCCAGATATAATCAATTTTCAAACATTTGCAATAGATTATGAATATTCATAAATTCATAAAATAAAAATTAGAATTAAACATTGTCTTCTAATAATGCCTGATTAAATTTATTTTTGTTCTGAAAATTTTGTTTTGAAAGAAAAAAAAAATTTGATATCAGTTGTTTGTTCTTATAATAAAAACAAAGTATAAAATAAGGCCAATTTATTACACAATTAAGTAAATACAGTGATATTACTGAAATGCCATTTTATAACATGTTTACACAAATTTTGAATTTAATCTAATAAATAATTATACAATTAATGTTTTAAAATATATTATACTGTATCCAATTTTTCTATAAATTTTCTGAAATAATTTTACATTCTAGTATTAATTTATAGTTATACATCAAATGAAAAACTAAAACAACACAAGAACAAATAATAAAATTTGGATATGTTAGGCTCAGACTGAAAATGCTCATTGAATGAAAAAAAATCAACCAAAATGTGTTCTGACTTCTCAGACCCAGCCACGATATGAATTTTTGTTGTAGCCCTTTCAAAAATGTGCAGAACACATTTTGGAATATTCAACGAGTGATTATTGTGACATCATCACAATGCTGGGCTGCAATTTTTAACCATATTTTTAATTTATTTCATTTAAAATATATGCTCTCCACCTCAAATTAGTAGTGTCTTGTCCCTGCACATCATACTTTTCCTTTAACAACAGAGTTGTACTGCTTTCAGGGAAAACTTTTGAATTGAAATAATGTGACTTCCAGTTTGCATTGGAAGTTCATATATAGTTAATTGGGGCATCCTGCCACTAAGGTTTCCATATCTGGTTTTTGATTTCACCTATATAATTCTGTTCTCAAAATTAAGGAAAGAGACAGATGGATAATGGTGGGAATTTATGGGTCTACATTTTTTTTTTTCAAATTGCAGCCCAATAAGACCACAAAGTGAAATTTGTGTCATTTTCTTTCAATAATCAACTAAAAATGCAATCTGGCAACATGAAAATGCCACAAGTTGTGAAATTTTCATATGGATGCTTATTAATATAACCATAATGCAATATGATAAAATTGTATGTACGAAATAAGTAACAAATTTTTGCGTAGATATTTTTAATAAATTATTTATGTATAGCTTCCACCAAAGGATTAATTCTGAACAATGTTTATTATTAATTTTTATACTCAATGATAATTCCTGTTACAAAACATTATACAATTTAAAAGAACCATAGAACTGTATAATAAATGCAGTTCTATGGTTCATTTTATTTTATAATTCACAATCAAAAAGACAATTTGCCTCTAACTGTTTTGTTTAGAATCCTTAACAAAACTACATATGACACCTTAAAATCCTAGATGCCTTAAAAAAAGTATACATTTAAGTCAAATAAGAAATGTATTTGAAAGTCACTTTATCAATTGATTGCACATTTATACTCTTCTCTAACTGCACTTACAAATAACTAAACCTTAAAAACCTTTAAAATGAAGTATTTTTATTAACTCATCTAATGTTTTTGGTCAGTTAATTGACTTCCTTCAGGAAAGTAACAAAAGATACTGATTTTTACTGAACGAAAATTGTTTTCATTAGGTAAAAATCAAAATTTTTCATTTATTTTCTGAAAAAGGTCAATTAGCTGACCGAAAACGTTAGATGAGTTAATAAAAAGACTTCATTTTAAAGGTTTTTAAGGTTTAGATTGCAAATTTGTTTTCAATAATGACACTCCTACAAAGAGACCAACTCCAAACAGTTTTAAATTAATATTAGTAAAAAAAACAATAAGTAGGAGTTTCTGTCTTAGAAATTTAAGGTTTAGACATAAAAATTAATGAGCCTAACTGTTTATTTTTGATATAATTCTCAATGTAAATTATAAGATGATTTTATGATAAATAATGAAAAAAATATGTTACATTTTTTTTATCACATTGCATCGTGGCTGCATTAATAAGTGTCCATAATGCATTGTTGCATTTTCACATTGCCAGATCATGTTTTGGTTTATTATTGAAAGAATATCAACAGAAATTTCACTTTGTGGTCTTATTGAATATGCTAAAACGCATTGTGTTTTTAGTTTTGAAAGTGCCAGTACATAAAATTTGCACTGCAGCTGGATCTGAGAAGTTAGAACATGTGGTTAATTTTATCACTCAATGAGCATGTTTGGTCTTTGAGCCTTACAGATATATCTTTAAATAAGTTAACAAAACTAAGATAAGAATATTTCAAAATTATATTAAAATTTTGATCAATTAATAAATTTAAGAATTCAAAGTAATTATTTTGACAAAAAGTTTCAAAATGATTATATTGAGGTTGTTTATACAACAAATATCAATTATATTATTCTTATAACTTCTTAACAAATAAACTGTAAAATATTAGAGAGGTTGAGGCGCACGTTTTAAACGTGTACGTGTGACGTTCGGCGCCACTTTCCCGTAAGCCTAAAAGTTTGACAATGGTGTTTGGATAGTCGGTGGAATCACGCTCGACATTCCAAACACNTGAATATATTATGACAACAAAAATAACTGTTGCATATTTTATAAAAATTCTAGCAAAAAAATAGTAAAGCTTTTTTTCCTGTATAATTGTCTATATATAAATATTCTTATAATAACTGTCCATCTAACTTGTGAGGTAACTGCAGCAGTCGACCTAAATACCAATATATTAGTGGTGTTCAATATCATCAAATAATTGACTATTGATTTGATAACTTTCTAGTATCAAAGTTGAAAAAATGGATATTGGTTAATGTCATTATTAACATTTAACATTGACATTTAATTCCTGATATCATTAATAAATATCATATATTATTCCATTCAAATTATTTACTGTATATTTGTCATGACATTCCAATTTAACTAGTTTTATATAACTCTTAAAATCATGCTTTCCTTCCTTCTTAAAATATCAATATTTTTTTCCAGGAATTGTCCCTTCCAAAAAAAAAAAAAAAATATATAGAAAAACAAAAAAAAATCATTAAATTGGCAATTATTACAGGAAATATGGTACATGATATCAAGCTTTTCTTAATCATCAAATTATCTTTGATAAAGATATTGTACCCTTTGAAAATTCTTTTAATGATATGCTTCAAATTTGTTAGCTAATTTATAAACTTGAATTAAAAGTTTTATTACTGAGACATTGTCAGATTATCAACTTTGTTTCTCTTTTCCTTAAGACTTCAAAATTTAAGAGGGATGGGAAACACACAATGATCATATTTTAAATTGAATATAAACTTCATAGTTTATCCTTAAAGTCTTTAAAAAGGAAAGAAAAAAATATTTTGTTTCCTCTGAAATAAATTAAACTGCTAATTTAATAGTTTAATAATTGCATTTGTGATTATTTCACTCCTAATAAAACAGACTTAAATTTATTTATGTTCAGAATCATAATTATGATAGTTGGAGAAAAATAAAGCAATTGAAGAGAGAAAAATGATGTTATTACAATAATTTGTGTATTTTAATTAAAGTTTTAATGTTGAAAGACAAACAAATTAAAAATAATAACATCTATTTCAGTTGTTAAAAACAAATTTTGAAATAGTGGGTATAAACACAGACTACCATTATTTTAATACCATATTTAAAACAAGAGGCATAACTATTTGTATGTGTTGATGCTAATATTTCTGCTTATATGCATTAAGAGAACATACATTATTTTTAAAATAATCATTAACAACTGTAGTAAAAATGAAGACACTACCAATTACTTGACTAGACATGGAGACATTGCCATGTGTGTAATTTCTTGGCAGTAGAGCTTTCTTTCTCAAACATTGCATTAGAATGATGGTAACACACTGAAAATGCATCATACCATCTCTTCTTTAATTAAAAAATATAATTTTTTGATTTACTATTATTTTTAATCTACATGTCATAATCTCATAAAACTATTACATACCTCAGGATTTAATTTTGGGGGAGCAGAGTTGAATGGATAAAAATAATTCCAATAAAATTCCAATCTTAAGTAACCAGTAATTCATAAGTAGTTTAGAATTATAAGAGATGACACAATATAAATAAAAAATGAATTTTAATTAAGATAAGACTTTTGAAAAATTTTCTAGTATTTGTTTTCTTTTTTTCTTTAGAGGGTACCAAAACCTCTCCTTCTAAGTGCACCACTGATACACACTGTATATACTATGTTAATTACTTTAAAAACGTTTTATTGGTCATTCTTTAATCTATACTTAGACCAATTTCTACATATGTAAATATGATCAGATAATATAAAAGTTCTAGTCCAACAAAATAATAATAATAACTTACCCGAGGCTAATCCACAACTAGCCGGAACCCATAACGGCGACGACCAGGAGCCAAATAGCAAATTTTTCCCATTTAACGGCTGAATATGTCGTTGAACTTGTAATAGATTTAGAACAAGCGAAAACGACGCTCCTAACAGAAAGAGTAATCCCGCCCTTACACACAATTGGAAGGTAATCATATCACTAAAAAAAAAAAAAAAAAAAAAATCTATAAATTCTAATACTTTAAAATCCTTTCCAAAAATAAATTATGATAAATTTTTAATAAACAATTAAAATTTTGAGACATTTATATAAGCTAGTGGCATAAAATTAAAAATAAAGTATATAAATCAACAACATAATTATAGGGTTTCATTAAGTTGTTTAAATTCAGAAATTTCAATAATTATTATTGGCATATATTTCATATTAATATAAATTGCTATAACATTTTTATATAATAATTTATTAAAAATTATATAAGCCAGAACTATTTACAACATATAATATTTATAAAACTATAAAAACAAAGAGAATAATGCAATAATTTTATTGTTTGCATTGACTGAATATAAACAGATTGAAAATCTATAATTATATTGGATAATTTTTCTATTACAAGGTAAAATAATTGAAGGTAAAACAAAATACATTCATTTAATATAAGACCATATAATATTAATAAAGTAATATATTAAAACACACATAGTTTACATATTATATAGAATAGGAATAACCTTTTTTAATGTTAAAATGACTAACAAACTAAAAAAACATGATCTAGGACATAGCTTTAAGCTCTAATATATATATATATATATCACATTACAATCTATACTTACAATTCACAGCAATAATTACAGTAAAAAAACTACAAAAAACAAATGCTAAAATCGTTAAAAGTGTATATATGTAAGTTTAGAAAACTCGATTGTTGTCATAAAGTTGGAAGTTGAATGTTTGACATACGCCGGGTGGACATGACGCCATCTTGAAATGGTCTGACTAGTTCGGACCAATCAGCTGTTAGCTATCTCACGAGGTTTATTGTTATTTTTATCTTTCGATTTGTAAAAGAACCAATCGTTGGAGAGTTATCAGCTGATTGTGATGTCATAGAGTAAGAATGAGGTCACGAGATAGATGAAAGAAACAGAAACCGAAAGAGTGTTTTGTATCGAATTGAGAATTTTTTTTTTTTATTTTTGTAAATCTTGATATAGTAACATTAATTTAAAGTGAAGATTCACGTTTTAAGAATATATTCGATGTCATTGTATAGATAGTATTGTATATTTGTGTTATATCGTTCGCTACTAAATGTGAATTTTTCGGCTTCTAAGTACTCAGTTTGGCAAAATATAATATAATTTGCTTAATATAATCACAGATATTACTATCAGTCATTTACTCTTATCGGAATTAACATGCTTCAAGTTAATTATAACAACATTAAGTTTTATTAATCAGTTCGCCCATAAATCATATGTTCTATGTAGGCTATTTAAAGTTTAAACTCCTCCCCTTAGTGGTAAGATGTGGTCTTAGTCCCATTTCGAAAAAACCAGATAGAAATTTCAAGATCCTCCTCTTTGAAAAAGTTATATAATGCTATAGAAACAAAAAAATACATCGGAGGAAATAAAATTTAGATACACAAGCTACTTGAGTTATATTTTGTTATATTTTTAACTATTATAAAATGGCAAAACCTTTGAGAGTAGAGATGGATTTTATGAAAGATTGTAAATGCTAATAGCGAGGTTGAAGCCAAAGTTTTAAATGCGAAAACGCGGACGTCGGACATTTAATGCCGCTTTCCTGTAAGCCTGGAAGTTTGACAATGATGTTTGGAATATCGAGCATGATTCCACTGACTATCCAAACACCATTGTCATACTTATAGGCTTACAGGAAAGCGGTGCTGAACGTCCGACGTACACGTTTTCGCGTTTAAAACTTCGGCCTCAACCTTGCTAATAACGAGTAAAATCATTAAGTTTGATCCCACACAACCCCCTTTATCTCCTTATTCTCTGGACCTTTAAACAACAAAATTTAATAGCGTCAATCCCTCTTAATAAACAAACCTCCCTACAAAATTTCAGAAATTTTCGACAAAAACCATAGGCGTTATTTTAAGCTTCAAACAGGGTGAACAAAATCGTGTCCCCCATACACACTAACATCCATACACAGAGAAATTACACTCTGATATCTTTTTCATTTTTCGACGTTTCAAGGTGTTCTAAGTAAAAAAAAAAATTAAAAATCTTGGGGAAGTCGATACTTTCCCTCTGTTATATATAACAGTCGGGAAAATAAAAGTACTGTATTGCGATAGATCTGTAATGCAAATCAAACACTGATGTTGCAAAAAAATCGGCTAATGTAATTGACTAAGTGTAAAAATATCAATATATAGTAAATATTTTCATGAGCACAGATGAGTTTCTTCCACATTATTCAACAGAAGTTCGATTAAAACATACTCATAATCATTTACTATTTGCTACAGACTTTAATACATCGAACATCAAGTAAAGAAATAAAGGATATTTTTAAAGATTTGTTTTCTAAAGAACATTCGTCATCATCAGCATTGGAAACTTACAAATCAGGACTTCAGGATGATAATGATGATAAAAGGCTGAAAGTAGCAGATGAAACACTCTGTCCTAATAAAAAAATGGTGCTATGATTTATATTATACATTGTTTAAAAAATTATGGTGACCTGAAATGATAAATTCTTTAAAAGAGTAAATTTAAGCATATAATATAAAATTTAGTGATACTTGCGATGAAATGTCTGTAATAAGTGGAGAATATCTATGCTCCAGTAGTGGCAATCTATACCCCATTAATAAAACATATTCATTGGGCTGCAGTTTAACAGAAATTGTAGACCTGTAAATTCCCACTGTCGTCTGTCTGTTCGTCTGTTCGTTTGTCTTTCCTTAATCTCGAGAGGAGTTATATAGATGAAATTCAAGATGCCCCGATTAACTATATATAAACCTCTGATGCAAACTGAAAGTCACGTTATTTCAATTCAAAAGTTTTCCCCTGAAAGCAGTTAATAGGTGATCAGCACGACTCTATTGTTAAAGTAAAAAGTATTATGTACTGTACAGGGGCAAGCCACTACTAATTTGAGATGGAGAGCACATATTTTAAATAAAATAAATAAAAATTGCAGCCCGGCTTCGCTCATATTTAAAATTTTCATCGGAAGTTGTTTTTATTGACTCTTCTGGTAATTTATAGATGTAATTCGAAGATATTTTTTTGTGTTATGTGCCAATGTGCACTTCCATTAGGTATATTTATGAGATGTTCAGAATCTGCAGTTGTTATATTGAAAGGACTTCAGTTACCTGTTTAAACTTTGTCTATGACTATATTTTAAACCACACTCACTACATCCCATTTTATTTAAGATATAACGAGTTCCTCGACGTTGACAGTATGGTAAACAGTGTGGTAAACAATGATAATTGCCTTTAGAAACCTGTCCAATGTTCCGCTATTTCTAAGTTAAAATAATTTGAACTAACTATGGATAATTATATATAGATACATTTTTGATTTAAAGAAAATTTCATTTTAAATGAAATAACTCGGTGTTATTCACGTATAATTTTGCTTATGAATATACATTTTTACTACGTTATATATACGTTTATTTATTATAACTCGTATAATCAATTTAAATAGGTTTTCATTTTGATATACAGTTGACCCCCTATAACACTGTTGATTTTTCTGTTTTATATGAATTCCATGTTGTACAAGTCACTTAGATTTTACAAATACGTGAGCCGTTCACAGCCTGGCACACGTATTTGTAAAATCTAAGTGACTCGTACAACATGGAATTCATATAAAACGGAAAAATCAACAGTGTTATAGGGGGTCGACTGTATACACCTATTGTTGTTTGGACTTCTTTCGAAAATAATTTATTTAATAACCTTGAAAAATTATCGTGGTACACGATAATTTTTCAAGGTTATTAGTCCCTATATTATTTTTCAAGGTTGAAAGTCGCTAGTCTAGACGTTTGTACACAAACATAACCATGCAGCAAAGCGTACAAAGGATTCGATGAGCAGCCATTTGTGGAAGTCATTTTGAACACTTATTAGAAAACAATGTAACAAGTTATGCTACAAGTTAATAAAAAAAACTTCTTTCTATAAGAGTTATTTAAGATTGTTTTTTATACCGGAAATGATCGTCATAAATATTTCGACGCGAATATTTCTGGAATGAAAAATACAATCGAAAAACGGATAACATTATTTCGGGTTGGTTTTAGACGAGGAATCAGGTGGCATGATTATTGTGATGTTGATTCTAATCACTCTGTATACCTACTAGACAAATTGTTCTAGAATATTCCCGATATATCTAGAAGAAAACTTCGAGAACAAACTCGATATCGGAACTTGGCCTTGAATATGATCTTTCTTCTACAACAATTCACATTCACTTAGTATATAAGTAAGTGATTGACACAGAGCATTCAATTTTTAATTACTTTTCTGGCTGTTAATAATATAAAAGTTATTTTTAAAATAGAATCACCTAACAGCCGGGAAGCTATGTAAATGCTTGCTGGATTTTTCCTAAGTAAATAAACACTTCGTTAGGTTTTAATTAAACAATAAATTTTAATTATTGNAAAAAAAAAAAAAAAATCATTAAATTGGCAATTATTACAGGAAATATGGTACATGATATCAAGCTTTTCTTAATCATCAAATTATCTTTGATAAAGATATTGTACCCTTTGAAAATTCTTTTAATGATATGCTTCAAATTTGTTAGCTAATTTATAAACTTGAATTAAAAGTTTTATTACTGAGACATTGTCAGATTATCAACTTTGTTTCTCTTTTCCTTAAGACTTCAAAATTTAAGAGGGATGGGAAACACACAATGATCATATTTTAAATTGAATATAAACTTCATAGTTTATCCTTAAAGTCTTTAAAAAGGAAAGAAAAAAATATTTTGTTTCCTCTGAAATAAATTAAACTGCTAATTTAATAGTTTAATAATTGCATTTGTGATTATTTCACTCCTAATAAAACAGACTTAAATTTATTTATGTTCAGAATCATAATTATGATAGTTGGAGAAAAATAAAGCAATTGAAGAGAGAAAAATGATGTTATTACAATAATTTGTGTATTTTAATTAAAGTTTTAATGTTGAAAGACAAACAAATTAAAAATAATAACATCTATTTCAGTTGTTAAAAACAAATTTTGAAATAGTGGGTATAAACACAGACTACCATTATTTTAATACCATATTTAAAACAAGAGGCATAACTATTTGTATGTGTTGATGCTAATATTTCTGCTTATATGCATTAAGAGAACATACATTATTTTTAAAATAATCATTAACAACTGTAGTAAAAATGAAGACACTACCAATTACTTGACTAGACATGGAGACATTGCCATGTGTGTAATTTCTTGGCAGTAGAGCTTTCTTTCTCAAACATTGCATTAGAATGATGGTAACACACTGAAAATGCATCATACCATCTCTTCTTTAATTAAAAAATATAATTTTTTGATTTACTATTATTTTTAATCTACATGTCATAATCTCATAAAACTATTACATACCTCAGGATTTAATTTTGGGGGAGCAGAGTTGAATGGATAAAAATAATTCCAATAAAATTCCAATCTTAAGTAACCAGTAATTCATAAGTAGTTTAGAATTATAAGAGATGACACAATATAAATAAAAAATGAATTTTAATTAAGATAAGACTTTTGAAAAATTTTCTAGTGTTTGTTTTCTTTTTTTCTTTAGAGGGTACCAAAACCTCTCCTTCTAAGTGCACCACTGATACACACTGTATATACTATGTTAATTACTTTAAAAACGTTTTATTGGTCATTCTTTAATCTATACTTAGACCAATTTCTACATATGTAAATATGATCAGATAATATAAAAGTTCTAGTCCAACAAAATAATAATAATAACTTACCCGAGGCTAATCCACAACTAGCCGGAACCCATAACGGCGACGACCAGGAGCCAAATAGCAAATTTTTCCCATTTAACGGCTGAATATGTCGTTGAACTTGTAATAGATTTAGAACAAGCGAAAACGACGCTCCTAACAGAAAGAGTAATCCCGCCCTTACACACAATTGGAAGGTAATCATATCATTTTATATATTAAAGACTAAGTTTTTGGTACCTCTGTATCTGAAGTCAAGATAATCCTGCTGGTTCCTCCATCTGAAGCACAAAAATTGAAAAGTATTGGAAGGAAAAAAAAATCACAAAACTCTTTAACAAGAGTAGAAATTCGAAAAATTTTAATGTACAAATATTAAAATTTGCATCACGAAGTAGAAATGAATAAAATGTTAATAGGGATAAAGAAATAAAAGATTCAAATTATAATTTCCGTAATAATAGTTTTAATCTTTTATTACAATCGTCGGTAAATTTTATAACTGTAGAGTTGTAAATACGCTAAACATGTATAAAACATGGCAGAAAATTATAAATTATAAATACAAGAATATTAATATTATATCGATATACTGTATTTATAATGAAAAAACAAAGAATTCTCAGAAGTATTTGAAATTTCTTATGCGTGTAATTTTTGTATAAATTCAGTTTATGTACTTAAATAAATAAAGAAAAAAATACGAAGAATTTAAAACAATGTTCCTCTTTATATAAAGTATGCAAATGGCGAAAATTGTTTGGATGAAACAGAATTGATTGTCCTTAACAAAGCACGTGTCTTAACACAAACATAATGTTGACCAAAACAATTGCTTTTAATGTTTGTCGACTGTCTAAATTCGTTATTCACACGACCTAAATATTCATTATCCATACAAAATATTAAATATATTATTTAAAGGAAACGTCTTTGGTTTTTTCTTTTTTCCTATTGTCCTGCTGACTGGTATTTAAGATAATTTTAAAAGATATAATTCCTTATAAATGGCGACATTGACATGTGATATAATCAAGATAAACACAACACAGATTTAGGAACGTAGTTTTTGATATTTTGTACAGAGATATCTTCATTGTATAAGTGTGTAAAAGTATAAATGTAATTTATAGCGGACAAAACAAACAGGCAGAGAGTCAAAAGACGAATGAAATACGAGGTTACATACATTTAACGCGATTAAAATCAAAACAGAGAAAATTGTACAAATGACTCAAGCATTTCATCTCATTTATTTTTATAGCCAATTAGTCATAGAATGAAGCAAATCCGGTAATAACCAAACTGCGGAAATTGCCACACACAATGTCTTTTGCGAAATTCAATCGTTGTCATGCAGAGAAAATGAGATTTTTGTCGAAAAATCATCCATCCGTGCATTGGATTCTTCAAAACTTAATCTTATTTTAGGTAGAATATCAGATTAAAGTAGGAACCGTACACTTCTGTCTTAAACTCTATTATAAATGATTACCGTACATTAATTCCTCTACAATATTGTTACTAAAGAATAATTCCATTAATTTCTTTACTCATAAGACAAACTGGATTTTAACCTTTAGATATTTTTATTACTTAATCCGATTACAGTTTTTATTTTTAAATTTTTTAAAATTTATATTTATTTTTTTCTAATTTTTACGGAGAACAAATTTTCTAATATTTTCTCAACAAACTCGTTAAAGTTTGATGTATGAGAGTGCAAGATCTCAGCCTGTCTGTTTGTCTATAAACTTTTTTCGACGTTAACTCTTAAACTTTACTACATTTTCATTAAATTTATTATAATATATAGATTTTACTTCATATAAATTGTTGTAAAATGATTACTTTTTCGTTTAAAAAATTATATTCGTATTTAATTTCATTATAAAGCCTTACTCCAATACACACACATATATACATATATATTGTAATTTTCCTATAGATAATTATCGTAGCTTTACCTAAATATTTGTATAACTAAACTAAAGCTTAATTATGATAAATAAATTATGAAGTTTCACTGTTGGGAGTGTAACAAATTAATTATTAAATTATTAATCAAAGATAATGAACTGTTTTCATTCTGTTTCATTTAGAATGCATTAAAAGATATTTAAAAGTTATATATTTTACGTAGTGATATAACATAAAGAGTATGGATTGCGTGGTCTTTAAACGTGAAAGGAGTGCCAATTTCTGAGCTATAAGTTATGAATAGGAGTCCAAAAAAGTATCCTTAAGAACTGTTTGTTGTTTAAGAAGCTCAACATGAGTGTAAAGTATTCAGAAACACTTCCTACTTTTTTATATTAAAAAAAATGTGGAAAAATATAGCACTTATACAAAAACCAATCGTAATTTTAAGAAAAAAGTAAGAAAGAAAGCATATTTGATCTATGATTTTACAAACTTAAAAGGGAATAACAACATAAATCTAGCATCCAACACGTTTTGTGACTCACCAAGTTGGAGTGATGCCAAGAGACGGATTCATCGATTTACAAGTGATAATTTATGTTAAATGGAGCAATTATTTTATGTAATTTTCTGTCGTTAGAAATGTTGTAAATTCTGTGTCTCTGCCTATTTCTTTCCTTTCTAGTTGTGTCCAAAAGTTCATCTAAATTGAAATAATTATATCGTTGCCCATTTTAGTAGTCAAAGGTTTTCTCTGTGTTGCATATAAGTAACATATTAACTAACATTTATTATAATTTCTAATATACTTCCTGTGCCTATAACACTTTCACACCTTGAATATTAAAGGGGTGTTTGGTATAATCTTTCACACTAATGACGTTTCTCTATTTATTCTGCAAGCATTTCCGCCATCGTTTAGCTACCTTTTTCACGCCTTAACATAATCTTTCTTTGCCATTTCCGTGTTATCTTCGATGAATGCCATACGCTGCAGGCCTTTCCAGCATCCCTTCTACCATTTAGGCAACTTTTTATCTGATTTTTCTTACTTTTCCNTAATTATTAAAAAAGTCATAAAATCCTCACCTAAGAGAATAAATGGTATGGAGACATTGATATCAATAAATTCCATACCCGTCCATAATAGAAGGCCGAATGCTCCAATGACACAACAGGAAAATTATTTATTTAATTTATACGAGATGTCACGGAGTAAAAACAAAAACGATGTTAAGGCCTTGCTGTGTATGTTCTAACTAATATCTTGATATGTTTATAACTTTAAATAGAAAATGTCAAAAATTAATGTTTATTCCGATTTAAATCATAGTATACAAACATCTTTAATCAAAATCTAAACAAAAATAAATAAATGTTTAAATTTGAAAGAAATCGGAAAAAGGGATCGATCAATTGAATTGTCAACGCAAAGCACCATTATATTTATACAAATTTTGATTTTTATCTTAGACTCTTTTGAATTGTGGAAACTAAGAGCGCCCATCGTGGATTTAACCATGCCCTTGAACTTCCAAATCCACCATGGGTAAGACCGGGTGGTTATAGTCTGGACAGACCACTCTTAAAAATCCGTGGAGTTGCTCGTAAGGATTCGATCCTGATCCACAGAACGGTAAACTGACACCTTAACCGTTTCGGCCATCCATCCCCCGTCGTTATATTATAACTGTACAGGATAGTCGCTTGTACCTTTCTAATTCCAAGAATACTGAAGATCTAAATTAATATATCTGCATTACTTTTGGAATAAAGCGGGTGCAAAGGGCTTTTGACTTATTCCGTATAGTGGATTTATTTTCACCCGTAATGCATGGCTTTGATCTTCAGTTTGATCGCCTGTTCCAAATTTTCGAAGATAATTTAAAAGGATCCAGATCTATTTCGAATCTGGATATACATGCAATAGCTGAAATTTTTAATCTAGTCACTGGAAAGAAATATTGCAGCGAAAAGATTGATATATTATAATATTGGTTTCAGATAATCGAAATCAAACTTTACTTTTGTATCGGTATAATCAAATGTTATAGTCTACAAATAGAAATAGCAAATCATGAATGTTATACTGAATTAATATTTTAAAAATTTAAATATTTACCTGGTAATTTTCCTCTTTTCACTGGAATACAGAATACAGAATGAAGACATTTACTTTCTCTGTATCCGCTAATTGCTAATATGCCTCCGAAAAAGGTAATTTCACAAAAATAGCAAAAAATTATTGCCAACGAAATATAAACGGAGTAAATTTGGATTATTTTGTAACTAGTAGTCATTCCAATACAAAAGGACAGAAAATTTGTAAGTGAAGTGATTGTTATCGATACTGCTGCTTCTGAATAAGTGATGCTCATTCTTTCCGTTACACTCATCTTAGGATCTGTTCTTCTCCAAGCAGCCAAAAGAACAAAAGAATTATCCAGTCCAACACCTAAAATATACAAAACATACTTTATAATAATTTGCCAAAGAGTATAATTTAAAACGAACTGTTTATGTGTTATAACACGACAAAAACAAAATCAAAAAGATTAATAATGTACTGTACAGTACTTGTTGCTAATATCTCCTTTTAATTATTTAATATTTTCGCTGAATAACACGTAATTCGTCTTCTTCAAGTCGTTGGCAAATATGACAGAGCCATTAAAATCTAGAGTCGATGTACTGTTATTAGGTATAGTTGCGATTGTTCGTACAGTCGGAGACAAATTTGAGCTTAGAAGACGAGCAGGGTCAGATCGAAAATGGATTCAATGCCGAGAAACTTTTATCATCTAAACTCCACTTTTCTCGATTGTAAACAGCATCAATCATATTTTCATTCATGTCACGTGTTTCTCGATCTCAAAATTCTTTGCAGTAAATTCAACAGTGCATGACTGTAGCTCCTCGATCGCTACAGAAATATAACTAGACAGATATCTCTTTTGTCGTTAGCCACAACTTCTTTTCCGTAGTGAAAACGGTTTCCAACTGACTGTGTGCAGACACACTCCAGACCATTATCTCCTCGCGGACATCGTCAGATCGTTAGTGACCGGATCTTGCCAATAACGTATACGCTTACATAGTTTATTATTAAGCTATTCTCGGACGAACAACTCTCCAGGAATTATAATTCTTATAAGCAAGTGAATAGCAAAGGAAAAAAAAATAATAAAAACTTTGCTATTCATTTGCATTATAAAACAAATATCAAGAAAAACTGATGGTATTTTTGAAGAGTGAGTCAATAAAACAGCATAATTATAATTTATTTAAATACATAGATAGCGTACAAAAGTCTTGATCAATACATGCAATTAAGATAGAAAGAATTGTTTCCAAAAGTCAAAATAATTTAACTTTTATAAATGTACATTATAATTTTTAATTTCTATTAATTCAATATTTAAAGTTCTAAACGATATCTCAATTAAGAAAATAAAAATTAATCTAAAAAGTTTTCCTAAATACACTATAATTAATTAAAACTATGACATCTGGGTACTAAAAATCATATAAGTTACGATTATATAATTATTTATATGATTTTTAGTATGTAGATATCCTAAAAAATAAATAAATTCATAATTTGTCTTATAAAATATATCTTATTGTATAGATAAACAATTTAACTTAAATAAACCTGTTATTTTTTTTTTTATCAGATTTGAATATTTAATTATTAAAAAAGTCATAAAATCCTCACCTAAGAGAATAAATGGTATGGAGACATTGATATCAATAAATTCCATACCCGTCCATAATAGAAGGCCGAATGCTCCAATGACACCTAATAACGGATTTATACATCCAGCAATTCCTATCCAAGGTTTGCTTGTAACCCAGTCAGTAGTCATACAAGTTACTACAGAAAATATCACCATAATAGCTATTGTTACAGGTAAAAGAGGAAGAACCAATTCTGTTATTTTATTTACTTCCACATCAAGTGAACTCGATGCAAAAAAATAAATATTCAAATGATCACATTTAATTTGAGAAACAGTATCAATAAATTTCTCTTCCCATTTTAAGTTTAAAATTTTTTTGTCTTCATCTTGATAATTTAATAAATAAATTAGTCTTACAGCACCCACATTTTTAATATATCCATCCTCGTCAGTTGATACTTTACCTAAACCATAAGCATAAAATACTGCATTCATTGTTGCTTCATGTATGTCTACAGGATATCTGAAAAATTGTAAAATATTTCAATAAATACATATAAAAATATTCTGTTTTTGATTAATATAACTTAAAGAAATTACAGTCGACCACCCTATAACACTGTTGATTATTCTGTTTTATATGAATTCCATGTTGTACGAGTCACTTAGATTTTACAAATACGTGTGCCAGGCTGTGAACGGCTCACGTATTGGTAAAATCTAAGTGACTCATACAACATGGAATTCATATAAAACNAATATCTACTACGTACTACTAACTGTTCGGGTATTTATCCTCGAGGAATAGATAAATATTCGAACAGTTAATTATTTTAGTATCCAGACAAAATGGCTGTACTATACTTACCTATAAATCTGAACGTTTGACAGTTATTCAGTTCTTCAGAAACAAAATTTAGATATGGATTAATTACCAGTAATGTCATTTAAACAAAATTCAGTGATTATTTATCATTTTTGTTTCTTAAAATTTAGAATTGTTTATAATTAATATGAAAAGAAACAAAAATAAATAAATAATAAACGTAAATATAAATTTAATTAATGAAAAATAAACTAAATGATTTTACAAAAATATTATTTATTTGATAGTTTTTACAACACAATATTAAATACGTGCAAGTCATTGTTACAAAAATTTTTGTAAATAATATTATTTCATTTCATTACATTCTACATGTTCATTTTTATGTTTTCTTTCTTTTAGAATTTTCCAAATTGTTTCCCAAACATTTAAAAATACTGGAATGACGAAAATACCGTATAAAAATGCCAAAATCATTGTTAATAAAATAATTTTAAAAAAGATCTTAAATGCCTCAGCAGCAGGAAATACAATAACAACTACTCCTAATATTGTTGATATACATCCTTGAAATATGGGATATCCAGTAGCATACAGAGTTTCTTTTATTTTTTCATTAGGATTATCTTTTTTACTAGTGATATAAATGTAAGAGGCATGAAATGTGTAATCTACAGAAAGTCCTGTAGCCATAAACAAGCATAGCATTGAAACTGTATTCAAATTCACACTCCAAATAGACATAAACCCAATAATGCCAATCTGAATTAATACAGTTGTTATCGCGATACAAACAATACAGATAATATTCGGAACGAATAAGAAAAACATTATTATAATTAGAACAGCAACAATACATAAAGTATGTATAGTAGTTTCTTCGATATATACATACTGTTGAATAATTGTAAACCAAAAATTATGAACATATACCGGATAAATACAAGAATCTGCGAGAGCCCATAATGATAATAGAAGTTGTCTTTCCAGTTCCGGATTCGAGATATTTTTTGCTACTACAATAAATCTAGATGCAATAATATCTGTTTTGTTCTTGTCGAACAATATATCTTGTTTAAATCGACGTGAAAATGGAAATTTTAGGAATATATCACGAAGTCCGTCAGTAAAATCATCTGATTTACTCATATTATAACCCCTATACGAAAACCATAATCTTTTATCATTGAATGATTGAATATAATATTTTAACCAAAAATCAACTAATTGTTCTCCAGCCATAAATTTTGCATTCGAAAACTTATTCATAATTTCTAATACATTTTTCTGTACATTTTTATCGGAATAATCTAATTTTTTATTAATAACCACTTGAATAACATGAGAATATTCTGTGAATAATTCATAGTGTTTATGTACAAATTTATTTGCATAAGAATGAAATGGATAGAAATCATTTTTCTTCATTCCTTGTTTGATAAATCTTAGACAATAAATTCCACAAGCACAATATATGAGAGTTAATATAATTATTATGATTTTTACCCATGTTTTCGTTAATATTTTTCCTAATGTATCTCTACAAAATACCAATATATTACTGCCATTATGAAATTCATCAGTTTCTTTCACCAATCCAACGTAAAGAAGTTTTAGCAGTGGAATATCTGTAAAAATAATTTAGTTGATCATTAACAGTTTAAGATATTTTTCAATTAGCACAGATCAGATTTATACTTTTAAAAATTAATTTAAAAAAAAATATTTTACATATTTTTATGAGAACGAAAATTTACCTTAAACTATGCGAATACAGATAGATTAATGACATGTTTATAATAATTTACATTTATATAACGGGTTACCGTAAGTAAAATAAGACCGAACTCATTACTATGACAAGTTTGGCGTTGCAAGCAACGGAAAAAAAAACGGAAATACAGAGATCAAAGCGATGTAGAAGACACTTTTTAATGTATTCTGAACGTGTGAAATCTGAAGACAATCAACCGTCAATTGCCGATAGTAATTGATTTTCACAAGCAATGTGATACTATCAAATTTGCAACAGATAAACCACACCTTTTAAGTTGCACCACAACTAAACACCACACGGATTAAGATCAGGAGAACGAAGTGGAAATGCACGGTTCTGTAATGGGAAAATTATGATATAAACTACTGTACGCAGAGTCCGATGTGTACTGTACAGGAATTCCGTCTTGCCGGAAAGTAGTTCCGTAAGACATTATCGCTATTGCAAAACAAAAGTGTTGAGCATCTCCCGATACTGTCTTGGGTAGTCGTAGAAGAAGATCGTTCCACGCCTATTGGGACGAGCTTCTTGAAGGAAGAATTGACCAAAGATAAAGCCTAGTATCATATGATGAAACAGACAATCGAAACCGTTGGCATAAATCCAAATTGATGCCAACTTTTATAGTTGAAGCCAATGGAAAGTTGACAGAATACACTGTTGAAAATTTTAAATTTTTCCGTCTCGGAAAACGAAACAGTAAAATTCGACCAATAGGAAGACTATTTAGTAATAATGTCATAAACATCAAGTGAGATGATTGCATTAGAACCCTAGTATTTTATTATTCAAAATAAAACTCATCCTTACTCTCAAAATTAAATTCTCTTGCCATTTTATATTAATTAAAAATATAAAAAGTTTTCAATAAAATCTCATAACAGATGGTGCCACATGCAGTTTTAAATATTGCCGGGAAAGTTAAGCAACTCGTTGCTGGATTTTTTTATCGCTGATACTGTATAGCGAAAAGTAGAAAAAGACTTTCAATTCATACAATACAACAATAGGCTCCAATGCTAGTTTATCAGATACATGGCTAACTGATGGCATAAATTTCGACTTTCCGTAATCTGGCTTATTTATGTGATCACATTCGATGCGGAAATACGACAAAATCAGTTTTCTGAGAGCTTGTGAAACGGCTATTTTGAGCTTATGTTTCTATTAACGTTTTCCATCATTTGTTTCAGCATCTGAGTACAAGGATTAAATTAACTGTGAATCTATACCAAACTGTAACTTTAGGTGAGAGCAGCAGAAGCAGCTAGAAAATATTAGGGTTTTCTGTGGTAAAAATGCGAGAGTTACGATGGTTACTGTTCTTATGAGATAAAAATGTGCCTTATCAGTGCAAAGAATCTTTTATAGTCTGAACACATCTACTTCCTCTACATTTTGGCAAGGAAAGTTGATGCAAAAATCAGTCCAGTTTTTATGTCAGCGACAAGCAACTTCTGGTTGTGGTTTATGTTATACTGTATGTCTAGATTATATAGAAGAAGTCAATCAGAACTGGGCCTTTCAGTCCTCAGTTCTGATTGACTGGGTTATATAGATTATATAGAAGAAGATTATATAGAAGAAGTCAATCAGAACTGAGGCCTGAAAGGCCCAGTTCTAAGCAACTAGATCTATCTAGTTAGTGGTCCGATCTATCCAGTACCCCCGTCCATCTGAATATCCAAGGGGGCAGTCGCAGACACTTCAACTGGGTTCAACGCCACCTAATGCAAGATACGTTATTAGGATATCATCCATATAAATTACTACAGTTTTATCTTGTAAAAATGATCTAAACACATGGTAAATATAACGTTGAAATACACTTGGACTATTACACAAGCCAAAAGGAACCTTTAAAAATTCATACTGGCCCTCGTGTGTAACGAAAGAGGTATACTTTCTACATTTCTCATCAATGTCAACATGAAAAAATCCATTTTTTAAATCGAGCGACGTGAACACTTTTGATTGTTCCAAACGATCTATCACATCCTCAATCAAAGGCAAGGGGAAGTGATCTCTGACCGTTTTCCGATTCAACTTTATAAAGTCGACGCACAGTCTAATTTTGCCATTTTTCTTTTTGCATAAAACTATTGGCGCAGCATAATCTGAACAGCTAGGTTTGATCATGCCACCGTCCAACCATTCTTAGATTTGGTCTACTACTATTTTTTTGTTCTTCGAATGATATTCTACGTGGGCGATGACTAATGGGAATTTCGTCAGTTAAAATAATTTGCATCTTTAATCCGGTATCCTTAACCTTATTTGGCTCATAGGTTGTAATTAATTTCATCAAATTCTGTCGTTGCTTTGTATCCAGAATGTGACTTAAATCTATATAACGCATCTGCCAATTGATCTAAAAAGCATGTTTTTTCGTTCTCAACTTCTGAGAGATCAGTTAAATCAAACTTCCTATCATCGGTGAACGAAACATGGTTAAAACGGTTTAATCTGTCCATATCTGCATTTGATTGCATTTTTTTTTTTTTTTTTTTTTGCTATCATTGCAAGGCTTACACGAAAATGTATCAGATTTGGAAGTCAACTTTTCTTTTTTATTTGTGCCGAAATCGTTTGTGTCACTAGCCACAAGGGGTGGGCGCTCATCAAGTGATTTAGTGTTTTGAAAACCGTTTCTCTCTCCCCGCTCAGTGGAATGAGAAAGGGACGTCTGCCCTTTTCCAGAGGCGTCATCTGATCTAACGAGTGTTGATTCAGCCACAGACTTTCCATCGGGAACAAAAATTCGCGTATAATTAACACGAATATTATTTTGACTTTATTTCTCCATGACTTTGAATCCGTAGTTTGTTATAGAGAAGTTCAGTTTATTCAGAACATCTATTCCTATTATTATAGAATTACATAGATCATCTTCTACCACGTAAATATTTGCGGGAAGAGAGTATTCGTCAATCTTTATTTCACTTTCGAAGAAACCTAACTGAGAAATATTATTTCCATCTAATCCAATTAAAGATGCATCATCTGAGTTTAATTTCGGAGTCCCTACTTTTTCATAAAAATGCCTTGGTATCATCGTTACGTCCGACCCAGTGTCGATGAGTACTTTTGTTTTTGCACCTAGGATTTCAACATCCGTTTCAATTTTGTTGTTACATCTAGAGAAATGACTTAATTCTATTTTGTTTACTTCTTTTTGAGGACAAGCTTTAGCTTTATGGCCGAAATTTTTGCACTTAAAACATCTAATACCTTCAGATTTATACGAACAATTACTCGAAATGTGAACAATTTCGTTACAATTAAAACATTTGACAGTTTTACTGTCATGCTTATTTCGATAAGGCTGGGGTTTTCGATGCTCTGTAGGTAGATTCGGTTTAGACTGAAACGAACCGGATTTTCTGATACGTAGACCGGATTTTCTCATACATTCTCAGAATTTCACGAAATTCTGTCAAACTATCTGTTCCATATAACATCGCTTTGTTGCTGGGTATGCCAGAAATAACATATTCGATCAACCCGTCAGGTTCAATTTTTCCATGACTAGCGAGTTCTTGCATTTTAAAGAAATATTCTTGCACAGATTCATTGGGAGCATTTGGCGTTTAGCCAACATACCGTGCAATCGCGCTGAATTATATTTACTACCAAATTCCGCTTTTAATTCCGATTTCAATTTATCCCAGGAATTAATACCGCTTTGACTTTCAACAAATAATTTCGCTAACTCTGTTAAGGATTGTTTTGCAAATATAAATTTATGTAAATGAGACCAAGTCATCATTTTAGCAAAGTCTTCGAACGCATCCAGCCATTTATCGATAGAACAATATTCAATACCATCGAAAGGTTTGATTACGTTTTTCACGTCACGAAAGTTAATGGAAAGTTTAGTCATATCCAAAACATGCAGACAATTATTGCTAGGTGAATCATCAACAACAGTTTGAACTTCTAATACATCTTCCTCTTCGGTATCAACGTCTGCCAAGATCAGATTTGATTGTAATGATTTTAATTGAATCAGAAAGAGAAAAAAACAAGCCTTTCGACGATTTCGTCTTTAGTACCATCATATTTAACATTTAATAAGTTACACAAAACAACTAGGTCGTTTAAACGAAAGTTCTCATTAATATATTGCACTTTCTTTTTTAGGTTTTCGTCCTCTTTGAATAGAAAATTGAATCCGTCAAAGACTCTCAATCTTTTTCTGTTATCTCCAACATCTTCGAATACAAGTTGATGCAACAATTTTATTGAACTTGTCGAGACCGACTTTAATGTTTCGCCGATAATTTTTACAAGCGTCGCCATCTTAAAAGTAGAATTTTAGAACTAATCACGGTTTGCCGAAACGTAAATCGAAGTCCTTCTAGAATGCCGATGTATTCGGACTCTCCAACGTCGAAATTTTCACAAAAACAGAAATGTCCGTAAATGTCCATCGTACTCACAAAACCAAAGCACAGTTCGTCAAATCTCCTCGAGTTCAGACTAATCCACATCCAAGCCTATTCCTATCCCGGACGGGCCCTCACTTTTGTGAGACGTTTTTTGTGTCTTTGAAAAACTTTAATTGAGATAAGAAAGATTTCGATAACAGGAACGTTTTAAAGAATACAAATTATATAAAAATATTGTGATTATTATAAAAAAAACAAATGTAGTACTTCTTTTTCGTCTTCTGTCTTTTCGCGTGTTCTTCTTCTTCAACCGTCGTCTCTCTTCTCTCGTGATGTTCTCTTTCCCACCTTTTTTTTTTAACCGTCGTCCAGCGTTGCCACAATGAAATTTCAAAACGTACTGAAGCTCCTTCAAAAAAGGTACTATTTTCCTTCAAAATGTAATATTTTTATGGTTGATTACTTTTAATATTAATATACCATCATACTCAATTTTTGTGCTTATTTCAAATTCATATTCACGAATATTTTGTTAAATAGTATTTATATTATTTGTACTGTACAATTTCAAAACTATTTTGTATAATAATTCCACTCTCACTTAACGGCTATTTTGATATTATTGATGACAAAAGTTTAAAATCATTGATTCCCTTATCTGTCCAATATTTTTGTTTGACAGAGTTGAATTGTTTGGACCACGTAGCGTGAAAAATTTTATCAAGGTTCTCGTGAGAATGTGACACGTGTGAAAGAGGACCACTGAGTCATAACATTTGCACGTGCAACTATCTGCATGTTGTTGATGATTGGATAAATCAAATTAGCAAGCAGTGACACTAGTGAGACTTTATTAAACTAATTTTTTGCATTTTTTCTTGAAGGCATGAAATATTATTTTATACCATAAATGGTACTGAAATATTATAATGTACTCAAAATGTACTAAAAATCTAAGTGTACTTTCAATATACTCGAAAGAGCAAAATGTACCCGAAAAGTACAAACGTACTAGGAATGGCAACGCTGCTGTCGCAAAAATAATAAGTCAAATCGAATAATAGATGCCACAATGACTATCAATTTCGGAGTACAGTGTGAACTGCTACATTTTACAACAGCTTTCGATAAATAAAAATTTGTAGGAAAATTTCAATCTTTTGAAGTAGTACAAAAACTAAAGACCCTATAAAAAACAGACTTCACAGGTGTTTCTCAGCTTCGAAAAAGCAGTGTTAAAACGTATGTAATAATACTCTCTTTCCATTTCAAAGAATTAGTTTATTGTCCATTGCACATGCACATACCATCTTGTTGTATTTGGATTTAGCGTTAAACATTTAAAAAATTCCCATATCAGCAAGGTTTTGTTGTTGATTATCCTTGTTTCACATTCCTCGTATAAATAAAAGAGACTGTTTACAACGATTGTAGTGCCATATATGTTGAAATCTACAGTGTCATCTTGAGTTTCTCTTAAGGCGTAGATCTTTTTCTTAGGATGCATATTCTTCAAGATATTTTAAGTGAATAATTAAAATAGTATAATTGAAAATATGTGAAATAACTTTTTAAGATAAAATTAACTTGTAAATTGAAAGTTACAAAATGTAATTTATTAATATTTTAATTTAACATTAAAGTCAAAAATTTCAAAGACTTCAGACGGATTCACATAGCAAACGATATGTACGACGGATAGTCATGAAGGTTAGGGCGTCAATTTAACGCTTAGTGAAACCCGGGATCGAATTCAGACGAGCAACTTCCTAGGAATGTTTCATGGGTTGTCTGTTTGTCTTGAATATGTTGAGCTTCATACCTTCCTACCCAATCGCCCCCATTGTGGGTCTGGCCGAACCCACGATGGATTTGGGAAAATACGTCTCTTAATTAATGCCCATATGGCAGAAAGAGCCAAAAATGAAAAAAAAAAAAAACAATAGCGAAATGTTTAATTCCGTGAATAATACTAAGTAGATTGATTCCATTACCTTTTTTTTCCTTTTGATTTGGCAATAATACCACTACTGTTAAAATTGTTTGCATTAATGATTTATATTTAAAAGATTTAGTCGTCTTGTCATTTTAACGCCTCACGAATATTGTGTTATTGTAAACTTTATAATGGCAATACGTACAGCTGAATTTTACCTCTGTTTGTTTTTTCAAAAATACGCTATTTATTTCCCCATCGGAAATTGCTATCGCAAGCTATATGAAACCGCCTTAGTATTATAAAAAAGAATTTCATTCTTGAGATGATTTATGGGACTAAAGGGAGTTATATTTAACATTTTTCTCATTTAAACGTTTGCTGTATTGCTCTAAAAAGTTGCGAAGATACAAAGCAAATCTGCAGTGTAAATTATACATTATAGAATATTAACCAGAATATTTACTACGTTCTTTGTTTACTTTTTTAAATTTTTAAATTATTAAAATATTGCGATCTTCATTATTTATAGACAGTTTTAGGAACGAGCTAAGTACAGCTAGCGAATGAATGATTTGATTAAAAAGTAATAAATTGAAAGAAAAGTGAGATTTAGATGTAAATTTTTATTGTAAATATTTTTTTGCCCTATTCTTTGTGTTCTTCATCCTTATTATTCTGTCTTCCTTCTGTTCTATTGTTTTCTTTCTTTTTTCTGATCTTTCTTCTGGAATATACATTTTAAAAATACCAAAATAGACACAGAAAATTAAATATAAGCTCTAACAGGAAAATTATTTATTTAATTTATACGAGATGTCACGGAGTAAAAACAAAAACGATGTTAAGGCCTTGCTGTGTATGTTCTAACTAATATCTTGATATGTTTATAACTTTAAATAGAAAATGTCAAAAATTAATGTTTATTCCGATTTAAATCATAGTATACAAACATCTTTAATCAAAATCTAAACAAAAATAAATAAATGTTTAAATTTGAAAGAAATCGGAAAAAGGGATCGATCAATTGAATTGTCAACGCAAAGCACCATTATATTTATACAAATTTTGATTTTTATCTTAGACTCTTTTGAATTGTGGAAACTAAGAGCGCCCATCGTGGATTTAACCATGCCCTTGAACTTCCAAATCCACCATGGGTAAGACCGGGTGGTTATAGTCTGGACAGACCACTCTTAAAAATCCGTGGAGTTGCTCGTAAGGATTCGATCCTGGTCCACAGAACGGTAAACTGACACCTTAACCGTTTCGGCCATCCATCCCCCGTCGTTATATTATAACTGTACAGGATAGTCGCTTGTACCTTTCTAATTCCAAGAATACTGAAGATCTAAATTAATATATCTGCATTACTTTTGGAATAAAGCGGGTGCAAAGGGCTTTTGACTTATTCCGTATAGTGGATTTATTTTCACCCGTAATGCATGGCTTTGATCTTCAGTTTGATCGCCTGTTCCAAATTTTCGAAGATAATTTAAAAGGATCCAGATCTATTTCGAATCTGGATATACATGCAATAGCTGAAATTTTTAATCTAGTCACTGGAAAGAAATATTGCAGCGAAAAGATTGATATATTATAATATTGGTTTCAGATAATCGAAATCAAACTTTACTTTTGTATCGGTATAATCAAATGTTATAGTCTACAAATAGAAATAGCAAATCATGAATGTTATACTGAATTAATATTTTAAAAATTTAAATATTTACCTGGTAATTTTCCTCTTTTCACTGGAATACAGAATACAGAATGAAGACATTTACTTTCTCTGTATCCGCTAATTGCTAATATGCCTCCGAAAAAGGTAATTTCACAAAAATAGCAAAAAATTATTGCCAACGAAATATAAACGGAGTAAATTTGGATTATTTTGTAACTAGTAGTCATTCCAATACAAAAGGACAGAAAATTTGTAAGTGAAGTGATTGTTATCGATACTGCTGCTTCTGAATAAGTGATGCTCATTCTTTCCGTTACACTCATCTTAGGATCTGTTCTTCTCCAAGCAGCCAAAAGAACAAAAGAATTATCCAGTCCAACACCTAAAATATACAAAACATACTTTATAATAATTTGCCAAAGAGTATAATTTAAAACGAACTGTTTATGTGTTATAACACGACAAAAACAAAATCAAAAAGATTAATAATGTACTGTACAGTACTTGTTGCTAATATCTCCTTTTAATTATTTAATATTTTCGCTGAATAACACGTAATTCGTCTCCTTCAAGTCGTTGGCAAATATGACAGAGCCATTAAAATCTAGAGTCGATGTACTGTTATTAGGTATAGTTGCGATTGTTCGTACAGTCGGAGACAAATTTGAGCTTAGAAGACGAGCAGGGTCAGATCGAAAATGGATTCAATGCCGAGAAACTTTTATCATCTAAACTCCACTTTTCTCGATTGTAAACAGCATCAATCATATTTTCATTCATGTCACGTGTTTCTCGATCTCAAAATTCTTTGCAGTAAATTCAACAGTGCATGACTGTAGCTCCTCGATCGCTACAGAAATATAACTAGACAGATATCTCTTTTGTCGTTAGCCACAACTTCTTTTCCGTAGTGAAAACGGTTTCCAACTGACTGTGTGCAGACACACTCCAGACCATTATCTCCTCGCGGACATCGTCAGATCGTTAGTGACCGGATCTTGCCAATAACGTATACGCTTACATAGTTTATTATTAAGCTATTCTCGGACGAACAACTCTCCAGGAATTATAATTCTTATAAGCAAGTGAATAGCAAAGGAAAAAAAAATAATAAAAACTTTGCTATTCATTTGCATTATAAAACAAATATCAAGAAAAACTGATGGTATTTTTGAAGAGTGAGTCAATAAAACAGCATAATTATAATTTATTTAAATACATAGATAACGTACAAAAGTCTTGATCAATACATGCAATTAAGATAGAAAGAATTGTTTCCAAAAGTCAAAATAATTTAACTTTTATAAATGTACATTATAATTTTTAATTTCTATTAATTCAATATTTAAAGTTCTAAACGATATCTCAATTAAGAAAATAAAAATTAATCTAAAAAGTTTTCCTAAATACACTATAATTAATTAAAACTATGACATCTGGGTACTAAAAATCATATAAGTTACGATTATATAATTATTTATATGATTTTTAGTATGTAGATATCCTAAAAAATAAATAAATTCATAATTTGTCTTATAAAATATATCTTATTGTATAGATAAACAATTTAACTTAAATAAACCTGTTATTTTTTTTAATCAGATTTGAATATTTAATTATTAAAAAAAGTCATAAAATCCTCACCTAAGAGAATAAATGGTATGGAGACATTGATATCAATAAATTCCATACCCGTCCATAATAGAAGGCCGAATGCTCCAATGACACCTAATAACGGATTTATACATCCAGCAATTCCTATCCAAGGTTTGCTTGTAACCCAGTCAGTAGTCATACAAGTTACTACAGAAAATATCACCATAATAGCTATTGTTACAGGTAAAAGAGGAAGAACCAATTCTGTTATTTTATTTACTTCCACATCAAGTGAACTCGATGCAAAAAAATAAATATTCAAATGATCACATTTAATTTGAGAAACAGTATCAATAAATTTCTCTTCCCATTTTAAGTTTAAAATTTTTTTGTCTTCATCTTGATAATTTAATAAATAAATTAGTCTTACAGCACCCACATTTTTAATATATCCATCCTCGTCAGTTGATACTTTACCTAAACCATAAGCATAAAATACTGCATTCATTGTTGCTTCATGTATGTCTACAGGATATCTGAAAAATTGTAAAATATTTCAATAAATACATATAAAAATATTCTGTTTTTGATTAATATAACTTAAAGAAATTACAGTCGACCACCCTATAACACTGTTGATTATTCTGTTTTATATGAATTCCATGTTGTACGAGTCACTTAGATTTTACAAATACGTGTGCCAGGCTGTGAACGGCTCACGTATTGGTAAAATCTAAGTGACTCATACAACATGGAATTCATATAAAATGGAATAATCAACAGTGTTATAGAGAGGGGGTCGACTGTATTGAAAATTTCAAATATACAGGTAACCCCCGTATAACACGGTAGTTACGTTCCAAAAAAATGCCGTGTTATACGAAACAAAGAACTAATACGAAAAGGAGGGTTAGGTTCCAAAAATTAAAAAACATGCTACTATATTTTCATAATTAAGATAAATATCTTTATTAAAATTTTCTTAAGTGATACATATTAATATAAATTAAACAATGTTTTCTTCGTCATCACTAAAAACACTATTAATTAACCGAGAGCGTTTTCTTTTTGGCAAGTTATCCTTATCCTCTGAGCATTTTTCTGCATTATCTTCAGATCCATGCTTTACCTTTTGCAAAATGTATGTAATTTTAGATTGCTTGCTTCTAGTTAAAAGGTCTTTATAAATTTCCTTATATGGTGCTAAGCACTTATGAAGAATAAAGCAAGTATGGAATAAGGGAAAAACATTCGGCAACATCAGAAGCAGAAGCGTCGCGATCTGGCAACATTGAAACAAGTTTCGAGAAGGACCACGTGTATCGACAGAAGGCGAGAAGAGAAAATTTACATACTTAAGTACTAATAGTTCACGAAAATAATAATTTTCGTGAACTATTATTACTTAAGTATGTAAAAATTTATTACATTTCCTGTTGTACGAGGGTTTTACCCAATTCTCGAACCGTGTCAGAGTGAATCCGTGCTATAAAAGTACCGTGTTATACGGGGGATGGTACCAATTCTCGAACCGTGTTAGAGCGAATCCGTGCTATAGAAGTGCCGTGTTATACGGGGGTTACCTGTAATTCAATATGAAATTTACAATTTCATAATTACCATTATGTATAGTGTACATTTACCTGATTTTTAGTAATTTTTTCCGAATTTTTCTTATCTTTCCTCTTAAAGACAATGCATTATTATTGTAACATGTTCCATCCATATTTTTTCTACACAAATCAAGATATTTATAGATCCTGTTATTCCATGTTACACTTATATTTTGTACTACGTTATGAACATAAGTAATTTCCTTAAGTATATACTCTTTTAGCATTGTTTTATGACTTTTTTCTTCGAATAATATAAATCCTAATCGACCAAGTCTTGTTGATCTACTGAATTCCATATTAGACATATTAACTGGGAATAGTTTTTCTACAATCGTTCTGCTTTCTATTGCTCTTCCATTTTTAGGACTATACAAGTCTTCGGTATCATTTAGAATTTTTGTTTTATAAAATCCAGTTGATAATATCCCGATTATTAGTAATGGTGTTAAAGAATATAATAAAGGATGTTTTCCAACGCTGCAACCCATTTTTCCAAAGAACAGAGAAACATATCTATTGATGTAATCATACTTCATGATTTCAGCTTCTTTCTATAATAATAAAGTTTTAACAAATTCGTTAAATTATTTATAATTGATTTAATAAAACATATCTAATTGTCATTACATTCATTCAGCAAATAAACCTTATGAATATTTTATAATTTAATTAACATTAAATTATAAAATTATTTAAAATTGTAGGCGTACGTCTGCAAAATTGTATTAATTTTAAAATAATTTTACAATTTAATGTTATAAATTATAAATGACTCGTGAGGTTTGTTTACTGAATGAATGTAATGATAATTACTATTATACTGATTTATTAAACTATTATATTACATTATGAAATAAAATAATGGCGAGTAATAACATTATAAGCATGAAAAAGTCGAGTAAAAAGTAAATATAGAGATATGTATTATATAAACTCGAAAGCAGGATGTTTCTTTATGCTTTTCAATTCTATATTTCTCACCCAGAGACAATGTGGCCACAGAACATTTTAAACCAGACACAGTCTAAAAATCAACCTTTGGGGGCGAGAGGGACTTTCAGGAGGGCCACTGTCATAATAAAATATTATTCAATAAAAGGATTTTTCAATTAATACATTAATTAAATGGACAAAAACAATAAATATAAAAATATTCACAAATCAGAAGAAAACAATAAAATGTCCTCATGTCTTTATTCAACAATCTCAGGAACACAAAAGTGTTTCGATGTTAAATATTTTTATTTGTAATAAAAATTATTTTTATCGTAATTGGAAATTTATTAACATTTTTACATAACGAAGTGAACGAGTAGCCTCAAATATTATAACTTATCTAAATCTATAATATAGATAATACATTTAAATTACCTTTAATAGATAAGTTATAGCATAAAGACGAACCATTTACATAACCGAATGACAATTCAAACAAGGGAGCAAAAATTTTGAAATATAGATCTGGTGTTTTCATTTTGTTTTACATCTTTTTATAAGATATGTTAGTTCTCTTCCCATTTCCTATTTTTAATTCTCTTCTGGATTGTTTTTAATATCTGTATCAATTATTTTTTCATTATATGTGAATGACTCGTCTAAATGCCGTAATTGTTCTTTAAACCTTCGTGTGTTTATAACAAGGTAATTTGAGTACCTTAACTTATCTATAAGGTTTTATTGTAGTGTTAATAATTGTTATCAGAAGCTCTGTTTTTTGGGATTGCTATTATCGTTTGTAAAATTCAATTGAAAAGGGTTCATATAGGCCAAAATTCATATTGGAGTTAATTAAATTCCCTGAGAGTGTAATAATCCTAATTCATTGGTTCTAGTTAACTATTATTTTGTAAAATAATTATAACTGATTATTTGTTATTCGATATCAAATAAAGCATAACGTTTCTATAAAATTAAAGTTTAAGTATAAAAAATAAAATATGCCATACATATAGTAGGCTTTATATATTAATATTTTAATTTTCGATTTTTCAGCCCTTCTACTTTGCCACTCCTAGGCAATGCTCGAGTTGACTAATGCGTTACTGCACCCCTGTTTTTTTTAATGGATAATGGCTTGTAAATGAAACATACCATAACAATAACAAAATACTAACACTATTTATTTCATTTTTTGACTCTGCCCCGTGAGCATCAAGAGGGACTTTTTATGCCTGTCATGGGTTCGACAAGTCCCACAAAGGAAGAAACCAGGATAGTGAGAGACGGCCCGACATATACGGGACAGACCCTTAAAAATTTTCTAGGTGTCTCGCCCGAATTCGATTTCTGTTCACACAGATTGATGCTTTAACTTCCTTGATCGTCTATCATCAAAATTAAAAGCAGTATGTTTCACAGATCCTTCAAAATTATATTAATTAGATACCATACATAAAATCAGTCTTTTCGACATTTTTACAAAATTCTTTTTTTGTTAGGGAATGTCCACAATCCATAAAGCTCAGTAGAAGTAAGGGTCAGTGGCTACAATGGACCACTACAACGTAAGAGTAGCTCTTGACCTGGTCACAGTTTATCCTCTTCTTTTAAAAATTGTTCTGAGATGCAATATAGTCTGTTATCTATTGAAAATGTGTTATAAACATAATGTCATACGCATGAAGAATCGTAATATCAGAGAAACTATTAACAGAATAACATTGATTTGAAGTTAATAAATCAGAGCGAGTCTACATAATTTCATCTTTTAACTCCTTATTATAAAAAGTTAATACGGATTTATAAATTATATAGTTATAATATAACATAAGCAACATGTGGTTTTATGTAATGTGGCGTGAATAATTACAACAGTACAATGTAAATTCTAAAAGGTAAAACTGTTTGGACTTTCTTAGAGTATGTAGTTTTAGGAGTGGGGAAGTCATTTGTCTGGCCATAAAGAGTTCCTACGACAGGAATGCGAGTTAAGCTTCCAGTATACAATACCTACTTTTTAAATATCCTCATAGAATATTTAACGTCAGCAAGAGTTCGAAACCCAGAAATATAGAAAGGAAATAAAAGATAAAAGAAATAGCATTTTGGATTTTAACCAGAGACAAAATATTAAATTTATAACTGCTGCAAAATAAAAGAAAACTAAAAGCATTTTATTCAATTAAATGTAGTAAGTCAGTCATTTTTATTATAATTAAAGTATAATAAACAAAAAGAGAATCGTAGCATAGTCAGAAACCACAGGTATTACTGAACAAATCACATTGTAATTGGTCTCAAATTGTTAATTACGCGTGTATTTCTTTTCAAATTTTCTCCAGAAAAAAGTATTGTCGCAGTAATTTGTGACAATACTTTTTTGACAATACAAAATTTGAAAAGAAATACACGCGTAATTAATAATTTGAGACCAATTACAGTGTGATTTGTTCAGTAATACCTGTGGTTTCTGACTATGCTACGATTCTCCTTTTGTTTGCTATTTCAAATTATTGCTATCTGTGACAATAGTTTTTGCGCAACATTTCAAATGTCTACTACTATTAAATGAAACAAGGATCTTAAACAGAAATAAATTACTAAATATTTAAAAAGTTTACTATAAATAAGCATAATATTTTACTTTATTATTATTTATTTTTTTACTTTTATCTCCCTGTTGCGCTCGGGTGGCCTTTTATTCATAATTATCGTGGTTTCAGCCGGGCCTACAATTGGGCTACCGGATAGTGAGAGATTACTCCAACTCCTCAGGGATCACCGACGAAAAGTTCGGACAGGACAGAGTGTTGTGTTTTTATAAATTATCAGTTTAGATCAATGGTTCGCAATCTTTCTGAGATCGCGGAACATCATTCATAAACTTTTTACTAAGCGAAGCATTAGCATTGATATACCGTATTCAAAAAAGCGATAAGCAATTCCATGTTTATTATTCTGACGAAACAAACAGGCAATAAACTAATAAACTTTATTGTATTGAATAAAATAGAAACACGGCATTGCCAACGAATAAAGTAATATCTTGTAGTATTCGAAATAAATTTGTAATAAAAGCTTTAAAGCCTTTTTTTGAGGCAAGTTTGAGAAACACCTATTTTGCACGGAACATCGGTTAAGAACTAGTTTAGAGAATTAGTCCAGTGTTCAGAGAAACATATATTACAAATTATATCACACTGTGTAAACACCAACATCTGTGCCGTTTTTATTAAATCCAGTAATCACTAAGATTGATGTGGCCGCTTCGTTCCTCTTTTGCCATTTTTTTCTTTTTAATAATTTTTTCTGAAGTGAAATATTAGAAAATAAAGCATATTTGGCCAAAAATACTATTTTGTAACTATTAAAATCATTTGCATATTTATAAACTAACAACTGTAGGTAAAGTATTGAATCGCTATTCACAGTAACATATTTAAAATCGGTATTATAATTAATGATATAATTAATTTATTATAACTTATGAGGATCAGGATTCTCTTAAAGAATATATATTATTTAACCGTCATTTTGTGTAAGATCGGCAACGATGGAGCGTTTTTACATAATTTTACCAAAATGTTTTTCATTTTGGTACAATCATCAAATAAAATAATTTGTTTTATGTAGGCCTACACTCTTTTTTCTACTTTAAATGACTCAATCTTAAAACTAGTAATAGAAAGTTTTTTTTTTTTTTTTAATTTATCGATGAAATTTATCAGCTGTCACTCATTTCGTATTTTTAAAAGGCGCAGATAAATAAACGTAATAAATGACATTTTTAAAGCATATAGACCTATGCTGATCGAAATCTTACCGAATTATTTGCGAAATAAGAAGTTAATCTGTTTGTAATATTATATAATAATCTATTGTATTAAGGCAAGCCTTGTTACATGGGTTACTAATCTCTTAGTTTGAAACAAATGTAATTACAAGATTCTATTTTACAACATTTTTTATATACTAACAAACAACGGGGAACTGAACCGCTGGTCGAAATCTTCTCCCCCTTCCATTGCAGACATCATTTATGGACAGCCCGTAACAAAAGATTTTATGATTTTTAATTCTTTGGGTACGGTACTCCTTTTACAACATGCAACTCTGTTTTCAGACACATTTTTAGGAATGCATTATGTCAGAAAGTTGGAATTGCTTGTATATAATGTCGGTGATACGGAACCTCGATGCGTATCAATAACTTGGTACGCATTATAAGAGAATCCGTATTATACTGTATCAAATTTATACTTGTTGCTGATACATGTTGGCAGTGCTGTAACTAGGCAGGTGCAACGGGTGCATAGGTACAAGACCCAAGATGAAGGGGGTTCTAAAATAGAGTATCAAAAAACTTATCAGTATTAAATTTTAAATTTTGTTGGTGTGGGATAGATTCCGTAACGTTTTTGGGTAAAGTTAAAAATTAACCGACTATTTCCATCGTATTTATTTATATATAGGCCTATATTTTTTTCCTTTAAAGAGGACAAAAATAAAATCTTGCACAGATCACTTGAAAATCTAGTTACGACACTGCGTATTGGTTTAACAGATAAAAGAAAGCTGTGACAATCTTATCCTGTGGATATTTTTA